GTGTGTACGTAATTTAACGAGAACGGAAAAAAAGACAGGCATCGGACTGCACACAGTTATCGCAGCTGTAAAACCCGCCATTTGTAATTGTGATGTGTATTTCGCCGTGATAGTTTCGTGCACCAACCAATATGATTTAACTATTAAACGATTGTTGATACAACAATCGATACACGTACGATCTAATATCAAAAACCGTAGTAAGCCTCGCTAAAAATATTTCGCCTGGCGTGGTCACGTTTCTGGCGGGATTTGACTTATTCTGTATGCGTGTGTATGTGTGTGTGTTCTTGTAAATGTGTTAAACTCGCAATCGCTTTTTTTCAAATACCTATCTCTTTTTCTATTAGCTGCTGCTTCGCTTCTTTGTGTATGTGTATAAATTTGTGTATAAATGTGTGTTTGTGTGTATATGTGTGATATTTATTTATGTCCTTCCTATTATTTACTCTCTATTATATAATCCATTTATTAACATTAACAGTTAACCCTTTAACTCAGATTGAACCTGGTTTGAGTATACATTCGATTAAGAAGTCTCCCGAAAAAGTTTTATTTTTTACAAATTTAGACTCAATATTTTCACTTTTTTAAAGCATTTTTTTTATACATGATTACAATCTTCAACTTTTAAAATTTAAGATCCCACGACTTTTCGAAAAAATTGTACAATGACCGTTTTCCTTAAAATTCTTTTATAATCTTACATGTGTGCTCTCTCTTATTATATATATACTTTCCCCCGATTAATTTCTATTATTCCTTTTAGGATATTTACTTATTATATAATACTGTACACACACAGAATAATAAAAAAAAAGTATAAATTGTTTCTTATAGTTTCAGATCATTTTTTTTTTAATTTTATAATGATAAAGATTTTTACAGATTTCAACTTTATACATATTAAAAATTTTTTCTTTTATATATATATATGTGTATATATATATATATATATATATATATGTATATATGTATATATGTATATTAATCAATTTTACGACATTATATTAGTGATACAATACTGTATTTTATATTATAACATAAAAGCAATAGAACAAATTTAAAATAAATAAAATACAAAAGAAACATACATACACATATTTAATAAATAAAAAAAGTAAATAAAAAAACAAAGTAAACACAAATAAAAATGCATCAAACAAAATATTTTCAAATTAAACATAAGTTTGTACATACATGTAGGTATGTAGTATTAATTTTTGTCATAGCCTGCGTTTACAAAACTGTGACAGATTTAATTTGCTTCAGCAAATTGCACACTTTCTTCTTCGCGCGAATGTCGCCATCGCGTCTAGAAATCTACAAACTAAAAAACCGAACTTATTGAATTAACAAACGTTATTTGTTTAAGTTGCTGGAAAAATATTTAGAAAAAAAATATTGTACCAACGCGATGAGAAAAAAGGCACTCTCTCTACTCTCTAAATCTTTTTGTGCAGTTTAATTACACATTTTTCATGCTTCATATATCCGTAACACCAGGAAAAAAGTTAAAGGGTTAACTGGCATACATATTCCTTGTTGGAATATTTTCCGAATAATTATGCGCGCTGATCAAAATAAGTTATTACTTCCACACAGTCTATATCCGTTTTCAGAGATCATCTGTTACATTTTGGTAATCAGTCTATTCATTATCGCTCACAAAGCCGACTTAGCAAGAGACATTTCTTGTCCTTTTTTTCTTCTCCCTTTCAAAAGTCACAAAAATCTTCCGACTCAACACCCCGTGTAGATTAGAAATAGAAAAAGCGCGTGTCATTGAATTAATTTCTTTCAATATGTGGTACTCGATGCCTCGTGTCATACGTTTAAGTTTCTAGCAATTTTATATTCCTATCTTTTTTTTAAGTTAAAAATAACTTTACTTTTTTCGAAAAGAAAGACAAAAAAGAAACATTACTCTGTGCAATAACATATTTGTTTTTGCATAAATATGCGCAAAGTGCCAATGTATAGTGCTGTTCTCCACAAAACCTAAGATTACATTGCGTGTTGTAACGTCGAAATGCGAACTCGATAAAAATTATAAATGAACTTCGATCCGTAATCTAGATTCTTTGCTTGCCTGTAAATCCAGTCCTCGTGACGAAGAAAGACGTCGCAAAACGATAAAAAGTCGGTACACATCAGTCCCGTAAACACCCCACGAGGGATTTGCGGAATTTGTACTATTCAAATGTATATCTCGAAAAGTGTCCCTTATTTCTTCGAGTTTCTATTCAGTCAGCAATCTATCCGTTATTTGATTGCATCTGTCACATTGTTTCTTTCTTCATAGTGATGAAAAACCAAACTTTTAAACATTCTCTAAGATTTCGTGAGTTGTTTTCTTAAATTATGTTTTAACAAACATTACCGCATTTTTTCTCTAATTTTCGAATTTTTCTATAATTTAAATTAGTTTTCATAATTTAAATTAGTTATAATTTAAATTAGTTTTTTAAATTAAATTTAATACATATATTGTAAAATTTTTTTAAATTAAATTTAATATATATACTGTAAAATTATATAAATAATTGCACATTAAAATAATAATCTCTTAAGAATTATTTTTCCGAAATTGGATTTTCTTTTCAGAACGAAATTAACTGAAATTTGACGTAAGCCAATTGGCAACAATTTGTGATGTAACTTCTCATCACAATTTATGTACATAAATAAGGGACACTTATATATATTTATACATATGCATAATAAAACGTCACTTACATCATAATATAGAGTTATCGATTTAGATTTTGTTTTTTTTTTTTTTTTTTATACTTTGTCTTGCTCACTTAATTACAGAACGATAAAGAATTAATACACACGCGTGTATGTATGTATATATGTATTTATGTATGTTTTCTTGTGTGCTGTGTGTCTGTATTGTAATCTACTAATCGCAATTTATTATTTATGGAGAAAATCAGCCGTTTTTTTCTTATTTTCTCATCTTCACTGTCTAAAAATGTTCCTTCCTTTCATTACTTGTTTTTCTCAAATATACGGTAGTAATATCAATAGGACTTGCTTAAAGACAAGTTTCCTTCGCTTAATCGCAACGGCAACATTCTCACCACATAAAAAAAGGTCGGGGATTCAACCCTTATTTGTGATGTCCAAATCGGACATCTACTCTCTATTTTTTTTCCTCGTTTCGATGCTGAGATCATCTGCCGGCTTTGTTTTGTTCATTCTTATTGTGCTTCACTCTACCTTTCGACTGTCAACTGAGAAAATTCACAACTGACTCTTGATAAAAAGATAAACATGTGTGTGCTTAACTGCAACGAGGTGGCTTCGACTCGGTTGTCATCAAACGAATCCTACTGTTCTTTTCTTTCTATTTGTAAATATGACGATGGCGCGGAGTTTTTGTATACATAGTCAAGTTTTGTTTTTGTTGACAAAGTTTTGTATAAATTTCATTTGTTATTTAAATAAAATTTGATGTGATGAAAGATATCTGCGGTTTAGTTTCAGAGAAATAAGTTTATATTTTACCAAAAATAATTTATATATATTATATAATTTTGTAAACAAGCCTATAATGTATAATATATATATATATATTATATATATGTATACGTAATATTTTATACTACAAAAATAAGTTTTTATTTTATAATTTCTCAAAGCGTATTACACAGTTAATTCCACAAATACTGCACATATAATTTTTGAACTTATTTTTGTGAATCACTAAAAAACAATTTTACGACTAACTCTTTATAGAATATAATTTTATTATGATCTATTTTCGATATATATTACAAATTATTTTTTTAATACTTAACTTCATCGTTTTAAATTAAGCAAATTGCTCCATAAATACTTTTAAAACTTTATTAAGTTTTTTGTAATAAAATCATAAAGTAAATTCTTTTCCATTTTATAGTTTTTTTTTTTTCTAGAAAAACTATAAAACTTCGTGAATCTATTTTAAAGTTTGCCTGCTTTGTACACGAACTAATATTTTATAAATAAAGTTCTAAAATGTAATTTTATTTTTTATCCTACATACTAATCCTATCTCTAAAAGACATCTACTTTAGAAATTTATTACAAGATAGAATATAGAAAGAAGAGAACGAGAATTAATACGAGGAACAATCTGCATTGTTTAAAACAATGAAATTAGATGATTCCTTAATTAAAGTTCTCAAAACAGTTTTAATAATATATTACTAATTTTTATATATTACTAATTTTTATCTCAAGTAACTTACATGAAACTAAACCGAGAAAATACGTTTCAGTTGTTAAAGTTTTGAAACAGTCAAGTGACAATATTATCATTTCTTGCGAAAATTCCAGATCCAATTTGTAACAAAATGAAAAATTTCGTCATATATTTGCTTAACCTTCTGATAGTTTTCATTTTTCACTTTGTTCTTCTCTCTCTCTCACCTGCATTTTCTTTCTTTCTCACTCTATTTCACCACTCAATAATTTACAAATGTTCGATAATTTACTGCCTTCATTTATACTCTACATTCTTTCGACCGTTCTTGTTACATTTTCTCTCCTCTTTCTGTCTTTCTAGTCTTTTTGAATCCAATATTTATTTTTCATGCTGTAGTCTTTTTGTGCTAAAACGTTAAGTAATCGGTGGCTCATTTCTTCGTTATATTTTTTATAAATTTTTCTTGCTTCTTCTTCCGTTTTTATCTTTTTAAACTTGTTTGTGTCTTATATTCTTTATGTTTTCTTCTTCTTTCTCAGATTTTTTTCATTTCAGAAAATGTTGAACCGCAATCTCTTAGTTCATATTTACAACTTCCGGAAAATCGCTAGATTTTTATTAAGTTTACAAGTAATATATATTTATCTAGATGTTTTTCCGGACGTCGTTTTCTCTCAGGATATAAAACATAATTCGCGACAAAATTATGTTCTATATTCTTCTCAACACTCTTTCTCTTCGTAATCAATCTTTCTTTTTACCACTTCCACTTTTCGAAAGAAATTAATTGTGTCTTTTGATATTTTTTTTTTTTTTTTTTTTGCGGATTAATTGCTACATGTTTTCTTTCGATTTAGTCTTCCTCGGATTGCAGATTTCAATAAAGATATCGAAGACCTTTCTTTTTCTTTTTTCATATTGCATGCTATAACTGATATAACAGAATGGTGTTTTTTTTCTCTTCTGCATTATGATCTGCGGTAAAATCGATTCACACTTTAGGAAACGTCACGTCGCCGTCACGTCAACGAACCATCAAATTTTTTCACACCAGGCCGATATTCATAGTCGGAACTTCTATTTAAGATCTCGTCTTAAGTTTCTCTTCAAACGAACGGTTTCAAAGAAACGGTTGATATAATTTCATAAGATAAACTTGAACTCGGACTATGACGATCGGTCGTAAATGGCCTGTAACGGTTCGCGAACGTTGCTGTAATGCAGCGTTAATGTCTCAAAGAATATTTCGACGTGACGCAACGTTGCCACAACGCGTAATAACGTGTGAATCGAGCTTTATCCGAATTTATTTTCCGATATTTGAAATCTCTCTTCCATTCTCTAAAACTCAAGCAACGCCTGAAGAACTTTTTGTTTTTCTTCGAAACTTTGCTTTGTTAAACCAGACCATTTTGGAAGGACAAAATTTTATGACTACTAAATTTAAATGTATTATATACATACGTATATGTGTGTTATATACACACACATACACACACATATATATATATATATGTTAGAATATATATGATATCTCGCACACGCCGTCAATTTTCATACGCCTTGATGGATCTTCTTTTCGCTGTATCTTCCCCTCCCTTGTTGTGTTCTCTTTTTTTTTCTTCAGTCACTTCTTTCATCGCGCCGCATGTTTATCTGCAAACAGTGCAGAAGGAACAATGTGAGGATTTATTTGTCCAACATTTTTGCCTCCCCTCTTACTCTAGTAGTCGCGTATACGCGCGAAAGAATTTCTCATATTTTTAGCATGCGTTTTTTTTTTGTTGTTTACTCATCATCATCGTGCAGCGAAAACAATTAGACAATTATATAATTGTCGAATATGACACATCTGATCGAGTTTTCGTAAGCAAAGATTACTTCAATTTATTCGCGAGAATAATATGTCTCGCGTTTCTACAGTAATGTTATATCTCCTCTCGAAGTAGAAAACTTTCTATCGTTTCGTGTTAAATTTAATGTGTACACGTGAATGTATGTGCGCGCGCGCGTGTGTGTGTGTGTGTATGTATATATATACGTACCTAAAGATTGTCCATCATCTCGGAAAGAATGGAGGTGGACATTGCGACACCGCTATCACAACTACTCTGTACGCTACTGTGATCGTCAGTGTCCGATTGGTTGCTAGTGTAACCAATTACGTCAACTTCATCTGTAACAAAAAACATAAATTTCGCGTTTATCGTCAGATACAAACGTTCGGAAGAGAATTGCGGTTTTTTAGTCACCAAATATATTCGAATCAAAATGTTGAGCAAAATTAAGATTTTCAAATAAGATATTTCTTTGTTTTTTTTTTTATGCGCGAGCTATCGCGGGGCACTACTCTCTAGAGCCGAGTGTTGCGCGGGAAACAAATTAGAAACCCGCTTGTATCGTGGAGGATGACAAAAATACTGAAAATACTTCGATTAATTCGTTTCAACGAAATCACCTGACTTGGAATGTACGTACAAGGAGACATTTGAAATCTGATGTTTCTTTTCTCCTGTAAAAAGCGCTTCTTTTCGTGATATAAGAAAACGCACAAATTGCGGCGCATCAACCGCGCGCACAGATTAAACCAATACCCGCCAAGAATGAATGCCGGCAAGGACGCGCCGTTATTATGACGTCATACCGTCAAATGAAGAGATGATAGGCGACAACGTGGAAGGCTAAGCAAAGACCACAAAAGAGTGACCGGGAAAGAGCGACGGTGGTGGGGAAGAGGGAGGGAAGAGAGCGAAACAGCCGCGGGGTGTACAGTAGCCATGACACTCGCTGGAAAGCACGGCTCGAAGAAGACGAGGGGGTGTCGACTACACTTGCAAGTCACCCTCTCACCCCGCGCCGCACCGAGCCAGGGGTATTTTTCCATAATCAATAACATGCCTCTATTCTCGTCACACTAAGCGAACCAGATCTGCCCTCGTCACCCGTCTCTCCCTTTCCTTTTCTCACCTTCCCCCCCTGTGTTCACGACACCACTAACCTGTCCAGGTGACAGTGATGCTCAAAACAGACGCAAGGAAGACGTACATAATATTTGGAAGTAACACAAACACAAACAAGATACATAAAGTAAGATATTAAATATACATTTTATTAAAATGTTTATAATAATATAATAAAATGTTAGAATCAAATAAAAATAAAATTACAAAAAAAATTTGAATTTTTTGATTGGCTACAAAAATTGATCTTTGGAAACGCGAGCAAAGAGAATAAGATAACGTGATATGAGAAACACTGATGTGAGAGAGAGAGAGAGAGAGAGAGAGAGAGAGAGAGAAAGAGAGAAGCAGTAATTTAAGGATGACACTAGTGACAAAAGAGTTTATTAAAACCAACGTTTTGCGCATCCCCAACTTTCGCATAGAATTTTGTTACTTCTTATCTCTTCAGCACGAGGCATAAAAACACGCGAAACATTTGACGCTTTTGGCTCTACATCTACTTCTCTTAAAAGAAAAACTTTGCTCGTCAAAATAAAACAAGTAAAAAAAAAAAAAAAAACAAGTATATGTCATTGCGTTTCTCGTTTAATTAGTTTTCGTGATTATTACGATAGTAAACATGGCATACGGCAGTTTTCTTGCGTGCCGAGTGCTTATCAAAAAACCGAATGAAACTGTAGAGTGACGAAAGGGGAAGGAAACAACGTCCGTATATACAGTATATACAGTTATACAATCGTAATATTCGTTTGTTATAATTGCGATAATTATTTTGGAAAGTTTAAATAATATTAAAAGGTCTCGGCGTAAAGATTCACGCACGCGAACATTTCACAGGCAACACCTGATATCGGATGCCGTATAAATACGTGTCAATATTAAATTAAACAAATACGCAATTTGAATTGTATCAATGTTCGAACATCGTAAACTTTTATGCACGCGGCATTTTGCCGACGTGTATAAAAGTTTTCCTGTAAAATAAAAAAAAAAAAGAATAATAAAAAAAAAAAACAATTTGCTTGAGCAAAAACGTTTCCCTCAATTCTAAATTGCCAATTTTCGGAACTTTGCTCGGACGATGAACGGATTAATCCAGTCTATTTATACTAGTCGTTGGGTCCCCGATTAAATCTCGATCGTATTTCACCTCAGTATTCGTTCGGTCACATGACGAACGTAAGAAATGCTGTAACGTGCGGTTAAACTCGCCACGTGCAAGTCGAACCGGACAAAAAAAAAAAAAAAAAAACTTGTGTTGAGAAATTGAGTTTTGTTTTTGCGGTAGTTATCAAAGTAATACGCAAAGATATTGACAAGTATATTTTTTCTTGTCAAACTTTTTTTGTTTCAAGAGAAACCAGTACACACGACGTAAAATACGATATGTAATTTGAGATAAATTGAAACACACGAATGTTTTTTAAAGTTCCGACAGATTTTATTTAGATGTGTCACGCAAATGATCGAATCTAAGGAGAAATGCTCTCAAATAGATGCTGTTCTTATATAACGTCAGGATGGCCGAGCGGTCTAAGGCGCTGCGTTCAGGTCGCAGTCCACTTCTGTGGGCGTGGGTTCGAATCCCACTTCTGACAATGATCTTTTTTTAAATTTCGAAAAACAGAATACATTGATGCAATACGGGGAAACGATTATGCATTGCGTGAAATGTACATCGTGAATTAGTTAAAAAAAAAAAAGAAAAATTTCAAAATTGCTTCAATGTACAAAATATATTTGAGACATTCTCTCCTGTGATTGATCAATTCGCTTAAGTTTTTTCCACGTTCCTGTAACCTAATCTAACCTAACGTAACTTAGGTTACTTTTAATCTCCCGCGAAAAAACGATCTCTGACATCGAAAGTTTGATTTGTTCTTTTTCGCTGAACTGATGCAGCTAGTTCAATGAAAAAGAAAAACCCAAGTGTTAGATATTTAATATTGAAAACTTTTGAAAATGTTTCGGTGTGTAAAATGTTTTAAATTGACAAAGTTATGTTTTTATATATCAATATTTTATTTTCAATATTTTATAATAGAAAGATTCTTTTCTAATATATGATAATTTTGACAAAAAAAATAATTTATATTAGAAAACGATTTGCATATTTGGATGTCTTAAAAATGAATCTTTTGCGAGATCTATTGCAACTTCTTCTCGACAGTACTTTGAAGTGGTACCTTAAACAATATACATTTATGAAAAAATAAAATAATAAATTCTTATAAAAAATTTTCAAAACAGAAAACACAATGTATATTGCTGATACAAAACAAAGAAGACAAAACCGACAAAGAGATGTAGAGTTTCAGTCTCCTCAGGATCCTCAACATTTTGCAATACTTACCGGACTCCGAAACAGACGGACTACCCGTAGACCTGTCCGAGTTCCTGCAGCTTCCAGCGGAGCTAGTCGACGCAGTACCGAGAGAGCACTCGGAGATACTGCGCCGTTTCGATAACATCACTGCTGAAGCTGCAGCAGCGGCGGCGGCGGTGGAGGAGCTGCTCGGCGCACTCGTGCTAAGTCCGTGGAAATTGTGAAGAACATGGAAACCGTAGGAGCCGGTCTGGCTCGCCAGCTGCTCGAGTCGCCGTTTCAGATACCTCTGCTCACGCGACAGCTGTTCCTTGTGTAAGGTGTTTTTGCGCTCGCGGTCCTCCAGACTCTGCAATCCGATCCAAATTACCCATTAATTGTAATATCTCACATGTAACGTACATAATATCAAACTCCAAACTAGCGGTAAGAAAACTTTCAAATCGTGATCAATTAAAATTAAAGTTATGTGACTTATTAGTCAGCCGCATCTCTTTGTATGCTTGAAAAAATTGAACTTGCAAAACTGATAGGATCGATCAGTGACGGTTCAACGCGATGTGTAGTAGATAATAAAGGCTGGCAATGGAATCATTTGGCCGAAGACAAGAGATTGCGTTTCGCTCGACAGGCAATGAGAACGTGCGTACGTACGTACGTGTGTGTAAGCGCGCGTGCGCGCACGTCAGTGTTATTGTCAGTTAGCTATCATCAACGTTTCGCGTAGGGAAGTTCCTGGCTACGTACTTTCCACTCGACTCAACATGATTTTACAATGGATATAAAAGGAGGTTAAGGCAAGATACACCTCGCCGTAAAGCGTCGCAAATCGACCGACCTCAGAAGTTAGACTCGGCTGACTCCTACCGTTTATATTGCGTTAGCCTACGCTAATTATAGCATAATTTGACGTCATAAAAGTGGCGTGTATTTTCTATACGCCTTAACATTATTCATACGTAACAAATCCCATGGAATTATCTATCTATCCTATGCTCTATAAATATATTATAATCGAATATAAAAATAGGATTTAAAAAAAAATAGAGAAGTGCAAAATAATTTACGAGAAAAAGTGTGGCAAAAATATTTGCTGAGAGCAAAACGTTACAAAGACAAAAAAGCAAAAAGAGCATAAAAAAGAGATAGATAGATAGATAGATAAATAGATAGATAGATAGATAGATAGATAGATAGATAGATAGACAGATATATATAGAGAGAGAGGAAACAAACAAAAAATCACGCTCCGCCAACTTCGCAACGTACAAATCGCTTTGTCTTCCGGTTATTTCTACATTTTACTTCCTCTGAAATGATATAAACACAAAAAAAGATACTTCCGTCTTTTTCAATTTCTTTTTTCTGTTATACCTTCTTAGCCTCCGTCTATCTTTTTTTTTTTTCCCCCCCGTTTTCTTTAGCTTTCCCCATCCTCCGCGATCTCTCATCCCACGTTCTCTCTTTCGCTATTCACATTTCTTCTTACATCTTGTCAGTGAAAACTTTTTCAACGAGCAACGTCGTCGCTTTGTAAATTATCGACTCGTCTGAATTTATTTTATGCATCGTTCCCGAGTAAAATTTCGAAATAGAATCACGAACAAGTTTCAGTTTACCTTATGTAATCCGGTATCATGTTGTCGTGTTTTTTTTTTTTTTTTTTTTTTAAATAATACGCACACTATTCTGCTGATCTCTCAATGTAATCTTTATTGAGAGAGTGCGGAGAAACATCTCTGAGAGCTAGGCGCAACAACTTAATCCTCTCGAAAAGTATGAACGAGCAAAATATTTGTCTCCTACCTAATATAGACACGTAATGTTTACAAGTTGCTCGTGGGTCAGACTGATGTACGTACACACGTGAGTCTCCCACGCGGATTATGCATGCACGAATGAACAGTAGATATTATCTGAGTGTTTACGTCACTATATACTGTGTGTGTTCGTTGCTATATATCTAATTTTACTTTTCTCTATATCGCGGTCGGTTTTTTTCTTCGCCTAATAAAAATCTACAAATTATAGGACGACGTAATTCTCGGAATTACATCTCGAAAATTTCTTCCAATGATTTTTGTACTTACGCGCATTTTTTTTTTTTTTTATCTATTTTTACCAGAATATTTCTAGGACGATAATTTCTAATTATGCAATTACCAGCAAAAAGATGAAAAAGCAACGTATTTTTATCAGCGAATTTTTCCCTTTTGCGATTTTCGTTTCCTACAACCGAGCTCCGAGATATTTTTTCCCGCTGTAATTTTTACGGTGTAGCTGACTGTAATCACTCACCTTAATAAAACGCTTAGCCTTGGTCAAAAGGCCTAACGTGGTGTGTCTTGACGTTTCGGGCCCAAGTGGTACCAACAACTTGAGCTTTTCGAGACAAGTTCTAAGGTGAGCTCTCCTGTAACAGAATAAAATCACCGCCGTTACAACTACAGCTTAAAATAAAAATTTGTGTTACTGTAACTTCGCTTAAAAAAAGTTTTCATTTAACGTCAGTTTTTTAATTTTATATTTATTTAAAAAAAACTCAACAATATTCACGCGAGACGAAATCTTTTCTAAATTTAGTTTCTTTCTTATTTTGTGCGTAAACACACTTTTCTAGATAATCACGCATGATCTAACGCAACTTTTTTGTTTATCGTGTTCTCTCCTGTAACGATACAGTTACCAGTTAGAGCACGTCTAACCGTTAGCCAAGCTTCACCGATACCACTATATACGGCTATAGGTCGACCTAGGTCAAACGCAAACATTCGTTGCAGTTGCAAAACCACAACTGTGAGCATTGTCAGAAAAAAAAAAAAATAAAAAACCAAAACTCAAATTGTTATCAATTGTTTTGTTGTCGATCAACTTGGCGATCATCAGTTAATTCGTCGACGAGAAAAATAGCACGCCCGTACAAAGCTAGTCTTGTTTTATCGAGTTCACGCAAATAGACACAATCATTACGTTTTGGTTTTAACTTTTGGATTGCCAACGATTTCACAAACCGAAGGACTAATCGTCTAACAAACGAATAAGCGCGAGGTACCGCTTTGGTTCACTTTCACCCGAGTTCGATGCACTCTGTAACGCAATCGCAACGGCACAGTGTACACATCACGTTGAACCGCGGCCAACAGTAGGATCGTCCGAGTTCTCTACGGTCAGGTCTTTAGAAAATTTCTTACAAGCGTTTCTTCAACAAGTCACTGTGCAAGTCGAATAGCAAACAAATAGCAAAAAAAAATAAATAAAAAATATACTTATGTAAATAACATTTTATCAACTTGATATAATTTTCGAAATAGTTTAAAAATAATTTTGCAATTAAAAATCAATTTACACGTTACTACTCTCGTTTTTTTAAAATCGCGGAAAAATCATCGCAGGCTGTTTTGAAAAAGAAGATAAAATAAGCTAGAATTTTATGTCTTCACAAAGACGCGAAAGTGTTCGTTCGAATTTCTTCTAAATTTTTTTTCTTTTTTTATACGAGGACCTCGTTTATATAAAGTAAATCTACGGGCGAGCGTAATCTTGGTATTCCTGCTGGCTACGCAGACCCCACTTGATCGTTAAGAAAGGGCGGGAGAGTGAGAAAGAGAGAGAGAGAGAGAGAGAAAAGAATCCCCAAAGTGCACCTACGTTCTACATCTTCAGATTCTTGTCCCAAAGAATCGAGTAGAGATTCTTCAGTACGGTTGAAGGTAGGTTAGTTTTCTTCCTAGAGATCCCTCCTTCCTGCGCGCACACATACATACAAATATTCCGTTTAGTGATAGGGATATGTTCCCGATGAGAATTCCGTTCGTATTAAGGGTGAGAAGCGGCAAGGCGATAAGAATGAAATAGAGGATCAAGGGAAAGGATCCAATATAAATGATCCCCCGAATCCCACCGACGAGCACAATAGGTGTCGGACACCACGCAAAAGCTTTCTTGCTGACTTGCACATCTTGCGCGCGAACCGATTTGAATCGCCCACACCGCGTCCCCGACGCCATAAAAAAAAAAAAAAAAAAAAGCGCGCACATAGGATTGAGTCGAGTGATCACTTCGACTTTCTTAACAGCTCCGGAACCTCAACTTATCACAAGCAATGTAACAAAAAAAAACATGTAAGAACTTAAAACTGATTTTAAAATTTTGTTCAAACAAATTTCAGTTGTTTCTGAGACTCTCTCTCTTTTTTCTTAATGATAAAACAAAGTTTGGATTCAAAAGTGACAAAGTCTCGAATCTTAAAGCTTAGATCAGACATGGGTCTCTCAGACCAACTCAGAAATTGCGCGTCAACGTTTCTAAAAATAATTAGTTTTTTTTAACGTTTGTATCTTTGAAACTACTAGAGATTTTTTCAATTTGTTTTTTATCGACGCAGAAGTGTTTAAACTTTCGATTCAAAACAAAAGAAATTGAAAAAATATTGATTTTTCGCAGAGAAATTCGATCTTAAAGTCGCGTGGGTCCTACTACAGATCTGGTCTGATAAACTTTGTCGTAATTTTTAAAACCTGACCACGAAGTGAACGTTAATTGCGTTTTTTCAGAATCTTTTAATTTCGATATAATAAATAAAAGTATTAGATACGTATGCAAAATCATAAATTTTCGAAGAGGAAAGGTTCACACAAAAATTCACTTGCCGAATATATCGAAAAAGTCGATTACGCGCGGTAACATCTCGCGTACGATATATCGAATGAATGTTCGATTTCCGCGTCGCGTACTCACTTCCGGATGGAAATGAAAGCGGAGTCGATCGAATCGGCTATTGTACACAAGACTGGCGCGAAGAAGCCCGGAAACTCATATCTTGAAACTACCTACACACACACACACACACACAATTATAGAGAAACAATTTTTACTTATCAAATTTGTCATGTCAATATCAATGATGAAATCGCAATCTCATGCGATAACTAAAACACCAAAACATCGTTGCTTTTCCTTGTGCGATAATTATTGAAAACATATATCTCTATATTTTTTCTTATCGAAGCCCCGATCAAGATGATAAAAATATTGTTTACATGTGAAACAGGTTACGTTCGGTTTAATTCGGAAAGGAATCACAAGACACGTTCCAAGACGCGCCTTAGTCGCGAACTAGTTCCCCCCTCCGAAATATATTGCACGTTCAAATGCGATGCAATTACAACTTGAAGCCGTTAATGCGCACTTCATGCAACGCTGATAACAACCCTCTCGCATTTTGCGACAATGTCTCTTATACTTTCTCTCTATTCTCTGTTTCGCTTCATCCCCGTCATCTTTTTCTCTCGATTGGGTCGCAAATCAATCCCCAAACCGTCAATACGGCTTTATGTCCCCGAAAATTACGGAAAACGTAGTCAACGTGGGAAATACGCTCCCTCTGGTTTTTGTTTTGTGTTTTTCTCTTTCTTCGTCCCTTTGTCCAGCATCGTTCGACAGGTCACGTCCAACAGGTATACATCTCAGATAATGCGCTATATTGTCGCCGCGACTATCTACTCGTTTTAGTCACGAAGTGATTAGTCCCGTCTTTGAAACAAAGAAACTAGATTGAAAGCTCGTATCTCGCGTCATCGTAGACAGCTGATTTTCTTTTTCTTTTTCTTTATTTTTATTAAAAACAATAAAGCGCCAAGTTTTGAGAGTTTGCGCAATTATTCTCATCCGAGATATTCCAATTCCCATTGATTTTCGAAAAGAGAATAATACACTACGACTTATATTTGCAATTTTTTCACATTATCCTCTGTTATATGTAACACGCGAGAAACGAGTAAGCGCACAAGAATGAGAATCACTGTTCAGAAGAGCTCAAGGTGAACGAGCTTCGCAGTGGCAGTGGTAAGCCGCGGAGAAACGTGGAGATAAGCGAGAGATCCGTGGGGCTCCCTAGTGTGCTCACCGCTCCTCTTACGTGGAAAGCGTGCGTGAAAATTTTCATACCCTCCCTCTGTTTTTCTCGCACTTCACACGATCACGCCGCTCGAATAATACGTTAATTTCTCGCGAATGGGGGTTCGTGGTGACGTCGAATTTTTCGAGAAGAGAGAACCAACACGCGCATTAGAAACACCAACCAACGTGCGCTCACGCAAAAAAAAAAAAACAGCACTCGTATAAAAACGAGTTTGAAAAACATCTCATTTTTTTTATATTCATAATTACTTTTCAAATTTTCCGCGTATTTATCACATTTTTTTTTACAAATCCCGTTTCGGGATTGAATTCGAGATTAAATTTCGTGATGTGAATTTCGAGCGAACACTGAATGTCAAAATTTTGCATTTATTAATATTCGTTTTTTCACTCCGCACGTCCAGATGATTCGAACAAAAAATACAATCATCTCTTGCGCGCGCAAATTTTTTCCCGCGAAAAAGCACATCCATTACCGCGAATCGCGAACGTAACTTACGTACGTGATAACATTTATGTTTTGATCATCGGACAAACTTTTTTTGCTTTTACGGGGAAGAGGAGCGTTTCGCAGTTTTTTTTTTTTAAGTGCAGTTTTTTTTTTTTCAAAATCAAATATTCCGTACGCGCGACACTATCCGATAAGCGCGTAACGCTTCTCTAGCCAAGGTCGGTCGATGCTCCGTGAACACAACGTCGGGCATCTCCTGGTCTTCCCAACGTTAGAAAATGAAAGGAGATACACACACACATAGGGTGCACGTTGTGCCGAGTTGTGTCCTTGACCCCAAAGCCAACCCTGCATCTCTCGCGAAGAACGTACCCCGCGCGCGCGTCGGCGCGCACATCAATTCTGATCACTTAAGTTATTCCGCTCTCGTGTTCTTCTCCCCCTCCTCTCTCTCTCCCACCCCTCTCGCCCTTTCGCTCCGTCCCTCGCATTATATTACTTGTTATTCGTAAAGTTTCGCCGGATTCGCAAACGCAAAACTTCACAGCCCGGGAGAGAAACATCGAGACATTAACGAGGCGAAAGAGCGGCTAATTGATATTTGCAACTGAATTTTATCGATTAAGAGTTTGACTGTTTTTTTTCTTTTCTTTCTTTCCGAACTACAATACGCTTGCGTAAACAACAACAACAACATAACCGGCCTTTTATCTAAACCTTCGCTCCGCAATGTGAGTTGCGCGATAAGATACTTTCATATCTAAACAATAAAACAAAACAAAAAAAAACGATTTACGTCTCGAGATCCTCAATGAAGATTCCCTCTTCCTGCTCTCTGTTTTTTTTCTCTTTCTCTCGTTTTTTTTACGTACGTAGAAAATAACGCGAGTGTGAGCATTTAAGAATTGCAAGAGGTCAGAATGGGGAGATCAAACGGGGAAAAGGTTCGAAATATGAAAAGAAACACAAGAACGTACCGGGACTCAGCTGTTTCCGCGGACAAAGAATAATATACTTAAAAATTCAATGCATTTCAAATGGATCCCGAAATTCGGTCTTAGTCGCCGCATCGCTTCCGCTCGCATCGGCGCGGTATCACTTGTCGGGGGACCCCTCCGTTTTACTCTTTCCCCCCACCTCTCTTCCCACCCAGTACACTACACGCAATCTACGTGTTCTTTTGTATGTGCGCGAAAAAACTCGTTACATGTTTTATTTTTTAATCGCTATCTGCCGACTTTTGTATGTACACCACGTACGTGAGACGCGCGATCACACCGATACACACAAACCGTTCGCAGGAAAAGATGCGAGTTTTATTTTCACCGCAGTTAAAATGTGTTTTATGTGTTATATGCGCGCGTATCATTTGTACACGTCCGAGTGAGTCGTTATCGTCAAACGGAGATCGATTGGGCGATCACAATGTGTGGTTGCAAGCTTATCCGTTTATCTTTCGATGCAGTATGGTGTAATTTTAAGGTATATCGCGAACGCGCGCGCATAAATTCGCGAATTTATTTTCATCGGAACATCACGCTAAATTTAGGACAGTATGTCATTGGCTTCCACTTTTCGTGCTGCTTGGCGCGCACGTGCTGAATACTTATAAAGCATCAAAACTCATTCTCTCAATCAGTCGTCACTATACATAGAACACGTAAACAACGTAGTAGTGGTCAACAAAACCGAAACTCCCCTCCCCGTTCTTGTTCTCCGAAGAAGAAAAATATACTCGGAAATAATTTTGATAAATCAACATCCGCGTGTATGTACATATATAAACATCCCAATTTAAAACCTGATTATAAAGAAATACCAGCTTGTTTGAATATTTTCACTATGCTGTTACGCAAATATTTGCAGTTGTTTTACAGCGTATAAAATATTGACTTTTGAAAAATTGTTGAATTTTACAACGCGATTTTCAAATCGAACGCGGAAAGCGTTTATCCAAACGGAAAATGTGATAAAAATCTGAAAACAAAAAAAAATTCAAATGTTTACTTTGTAATTTTAAAATTGTTACTTGTTTCGGGACGAGCAAGTTTGTTTCGCGCGAAAAAAAATACACAGGCACGATCCGGAAATATTCGGAGGAAGGAAACGAAAATTGTGCAAGTTAGCGATGCATAAAAAGTGAAAAGGGGGGATCAATGGGGCGCTTTGGAGGATAAAAGAGAAAGCGATGTATAGGTAGTCGCAGAAAACTATTGATTTTTTTTATAAGCAGCCCATGTGCGAATAGTGCTCGTAATGGGGAGGGAGAGAAAAAAGAAAAAAGAGAGAGAGAGAGAGAGAAAAAGAGAGACGAGAGAGGGAGAGGTATAAAAGAAAGAGAATTATACAAAGGGTAGCTTGTGACACAGAAACTGCCGATGTAAAAAAAAACCCCTCTGCTCCGTATTACATCCCGTATTTACGTTATATAAACGCCTATTTTCAACGCTTATTTTTCTATTATTTTTTATTTTCCATTTTTAAAACCATTTAATATACACATCGATAAGATTATTTTTCAAATTAGTTGCAGATTACTGAATGTCCACACACACATACAAACTTAGGTATATTACATCGTCTCTCTTCCCCACTTACTCTATATAACTTCAATTAATGTTTAAAATCACTCACCTATTTTTCTCTAGCTCGTTATGAGTCGTTCTGAAAGCAGAAAATAAATAAGTGTTATTTTTTGTTGTCAAAAAGCGAAAGATAAAAACATGATTTGCGATAACGAAAACATCGAGAGACTAAATAATAAAATCGAATGACCTGACCATATAAATTTCGCAAGCGGAGAGATTAATGCGCGTTTAAAAATATTACAAACAGTTATATAATTCAGTTGTAAATAAATTGCAACTGGTAACTGTTAACACGCACGCAGTTACGGCGATACAAAAATGTTGCATTTTGAACGACCGAGTATCAATCGATATTCTAAGTTGTTTTCCATGCGCGATAAGTCGCGTTTATTTAAAACAAAAAATAGCAATATCTTATGTAAAAACTTTAATACAAAATAAGATCATATCTTCCTAATATTGTAAACACAGAGAGAGAAAAAGAGAGAGAAATATATGTGCTTTGAAACTTTGTTTTTAAAGAGAAATTTTGGAGATAAATTATTTTAACAATTTTCAAAACATATCGAAGCAAAATACGAACCTGCTGCCTTGAGACTTCTTCGTCTTTGGCCTCTTTGTAATCGTCCGCATATCATCGGATATTGGCATAGTTGAAGCGTAGCCATGTTCAGCTTCTGTAAATTAAACACAGCGATAAATTAATCAACTAATCACGTTCGAATTACATATACATATATCCTTAACAATGTAATTTTTCCTGCTTTTAAAAGACAACACAGACACATGTGATTATGTGTTTATGTGTGGGAGTGGTATAAAGATTAAGAGATTACATTTAACGCGCAAACACGTTTCTGAAACGGATTAATTTCGCATTGCGTTTGAACAGGAAAAAACAACAGCGACGTGACACTCGCGCGAGAGAGCGCTCGAACTTTTAATGTTTGTTTAAGCTTGTTACAGAATGAGCAACGAGAGAACGCGCATCGAGAGATCGAGATATATATATATTAAGTCACATTTGTTTTAATTTCTCAAAACCGTTTCTCAAAAGACTCCACGCGCGTCTCTCGATCGAAGAGATCGAGTTTCGTGAATTTTTGAGCAAACGTTTAGAGCGTTTAATTATTTTACTTCAATAAGCGCGTACATCATTAAGCGCCCGTCGTAATCGGAGAGAGCGAGTCTCCTTGCGCCAAAGATAACATTTATTATACTTCTATAAGTGTCGCGTGCGTGCGCTGGGTTAAAAGCAGGATAAACAAACGCACATCGCATCGCGATTCGAAATAGATAGACAGATGCGCATCGGAGAATAAATTTTTTTTTTTTATAAATAGAACTCGCGATTAAATTAAGAACCAACAGACAAGTCGTAAATAAAAATAGGACGGACTTTTTGCAACACACGCGTTTAAATAGATAAAAACAATCGCGATATCGAATATTAAGACTTCGGATCGATTTCCGATTCACTTTTTCGACGAGTTCGCAATTTTTAGTTTTAACGCGTGCGTAAATAAAAAAAAAAATAAAAAAATTATTGGTGCGACGAAAATTTTGTGCGACATTTGAATTAATTGTCAAACGAAATCAACTATTTCTATGTGTGTAACGTTCACATCTGATTTAATACGCGCAGCGGTGTTACTTTCAAATTCCCTCCCGTCTTTTCACGAAACAATAACTCGGAAAATTACGAAAATTTCGCACAACTTGAAGCAATCTTTTGCCCGAGTATCGTACTTTTTTTTTTTTTTTTTTCGTGCACAACGTGTACGTGCGATTTTATGGAAATCGTCCGCGAAATTAGAAATTTCGGAACTCTCGCGAGAGAAACGTGGTGACACGCGAGAGGTTAATAAAAACAGCTTGCGCATACATATACGACGGACGTGAGTTTTCGCACGTATGTGACGAGAACGTCGGCTCCGATGCGACGTAAGCAACGTATCGCATATATGTGTATGTGTACAAGTAAAAAGATAAAAAGAGATCATCGTTCACACACACACACAGACACATGTACAATTCATTACAAAACAAAGATGTATAAAAACGAAGATACGTGACACTTTTTTGTTGAGATTTTCTTTTGTTACAAACAAAAATTTTTAATCTTTACAACAAAGTATACAATCAAATGCGCAAAATATTCGTTAAGTTTGTTCGTACATTTAAAAAATCTAAAATTTATTTTCGCGTGTGTTGTTTTTAAAAGTAGGTTTATGCCGTATATAAAATTTATACAACGATAATTGTGTATTTAAAAAGACCATAAACCACTTGGTCGGGGAATGACGTCTACAAGATAAACCATGTCAATAAATTAATAATTTTCAACAGCATCAATAGCAGCTCACATTTGCTCCAACTGGCCTCATCCACACGCATTCTTTATTTCGTATATTTCATATATATACTCTATCTGTTTAAAAGTCGTCAAAAAAAAAATGCTCGGATCAAATTTGCGACAAACATCCCGATCTGAAAGAATGACGCTATTGTTGGCGAGTCTCATATCGACGTATAAACCTACTTTTATATACACGTCGAACACGTGGTCGGGTTAACTCCTTCAATGGCTTCGGTCTGAAATCATTTTGTTATCTCTTTCTTTTTCAGTCGCGACAATATTAGTCAGCACCAAATATCAGAGAATTCTTTTTCAGGAAATCACGAGAGATAAAATAGCGAACTGTAAGAACACAAATCACAGCGAGATAATGGGAACACGTATATGCCAGATATCGAAGCAAAGATCCAATGTGAAAAAAAACACAAAAAAAAAAAAAAAAAAAAAAAAAAAAAAAAAAAAAAAAAAAAAAAGAACGTCACGTATTCCGGAGCGATGACTTATCGGTAAGAATCGTAAATTTTACGAAGTCACGTAACTATTGTTCGAGATCGAGTAACTATATCGAGACAATACCGCTTTTGTAATCACGTGCGATTTTTTTTTTTTTTTTTTTTTTTTTTTCCAACGAGTTCGGTCTCTCGATCGGCGAAGAGTTTCGAGCGAGAAAGTTTTCGCAAGAGTTTCATCAGAACGCGACGATTCACGACGTTTCTTTAATCATTTGTTTAGTCATAAATGTTTGTCGAAACCAATGGCATTGAAAAGTCGCAGCACTGTGACACCGTTTTCGAATTTCTCAAATTCTTACGTGTGTATTATTAAATAGACACACATTTCATATATATATATATACTTCAAATTTATGCAAGCCTGTGTGTGTTGTGTTAGTGCGCGAAACAAAAACATATAATACGCGAAGAAGTCTCGATTAGAAACATTGGGGAAAAAAATTGTGCGCACGTGCATGCGTAAACGTGGTGCGCGAGTGTTGTGTTTATGTCGAAAGAGAGATTGTGTGATTATACAAATGGCAATTTGAAAAGAAAGAGGAGGGGGAAAGAGGAGAAGACCGAGAAAGAGAAGAAAAACACGGTGAGAGAAAAATATAAAATAAAAGTTGACGAGCACTAACCTCTTTCCCTTCGTTCAATGTACTCGGCGGCTTCCAGTAGGGCAGCAATGCTCATATTTCCTCGATTTGGCGTAATCCTGGTGGCTTCCGTTCACGCTTAACACTCGTCCACCACGTTGTTGTTCTCCTACTACACTCTCCTCCCCCTCCACAAGCAACGGCGCACTAGCGCACCTCTTGCTTCTCCGGCAACGCGCTCCCACACGCCGCACGCACACTCACACACGTCACGATGCGCGCGCGCGCGCACGTGCGCGTAGATGGGCGCACAGGCGAGAGAGAGAGACGGTGGGAGGGGGAGGGAGGAGGAGAACCGCGAGAGATGCGTAATCGTGGAGTCTTCGGCCGCGCACGAGCGCCGCGACGCCTCTCGTCGCCTCGGGTGGCTCCGCCAGACCTCGGCTACCTTCGCACCGTGTAACTGCGCGCACCAACGCGCAGGCGGGCACGACACGACAACAACGACGATGACGAACGACGACGACGACGCGCACCCGCGAGCGAAGCGCGTACGTATATACACCGATTCGCGGAGGAGAAAATAACGGACGACAGCGATCAGCCGATGCGGATACGCGGAATGTTTCACGTTTCGCGGTGATGTTTCTGTTTTGATTCACAGTAGCTCTCTTTCTCTCTCTCTCTCTCTCTCTATCACGCGCTTATTTCTCACAAATATAGTATAACAAGAAGTAACAAATTATTTCAGTTAAAAAAAAGAGTTCGTCGCACTTTTCGATCGACCGTCGATGTTAATCTTACTTCGGCTGTTTCCACTTAAACTTTTTAGTCGAAGAAAACACACTCGTATTCTTGTCAAGTCACCCTTCACCTTGCCTTTGTGTTCATATAATAAACGTTCCGTCGATCTATCTTATCAGTTGACGAATGTACTTTAACATTTGTATAAATGTTTCTGCTCGAAATGTCGCCTCACTGTCTGGCGTGTCCTTCCGAGCACGTTGGTAACGCTCTGTTGTTGTCTGGTGAGTATTTCCACTTCGATCGCGATTATCCGGCCGTCTTCGTGATGTACGCCTCCCCTCCCCTCCTCCACCACCTCCTCCTCCTCCTCCTCCTCTTCCTGATGCTGCTCTACCACGGTGCTGCTTCTCTTGTTCCCTGTTGCTACGGCTGCTGCTTCTGCTGCTGCTGATGATGATGATGACGATGATGTTGCTCCTTTCCTTCTCACCGCTTAACACCACATCCACCGGGATCGCACTAGAGCACAAAAGAAGCCGAGTTTATCAATCAAGTGCGCGGCACTCGCGAATTAAAAACGCGATACGTCGCGTCGATTTTCACGTGGGGAATCGCAGCGTGACCGTCAAGTCGTATCGGGTAACCAAACCGCCGCTTATTGCGATACAAAAATGCCCGCGTCGAGGTAACTGCGTTTCGAACAACCGCCGAGAGAAGCCGATCGTGGAACAACGCACAAGAGCACGAGCCGTACACGCGCGCACGCACGCACACGCAGCGATGTTACACATATGACGAAAGAAAGAGGGGAGGGGGGGAGAATACAGGGAGGAGGCGGGGGTTGGCGACGGAATGAAAGAGAGAATACGCCGCCTACGCGCGGTCGCGTAACGCGAGAAAAATAAACAGCGAGTAAAACAGAAACAGAGCGAGAGAGCGGAGAGGGATAAAGAAAGAGAGAGAGAAAGAGACGGGAAGAGATGGAGAAGGATAAAGATAATGAGACGCGATAAATATAAGAACGATTACGGTAAAAATTTACGATACGTGCGCGGCGTGTGCTTTGGAATAAAACTTTTCTTGTACATTAAAAATAATGTGAAACAAGAACGTGTGTGTGTGTGTGTATGTGTGTGTATAAGAGAGAGAGAATCTTTTGTCGAATGCGTTCGAGGGAAGTCGGATAAAAGTTATCGCGAAGCACGCGGGAAGAAAAAAAGGACGCGAAACTTTAAGAAGAATTTATTTGCGACATCTCCTGTATTAAATAAATAAACATACGTGGATGCGTAAAATTATAAATTTGTATTATAAAAAAAAAAAAAATATTTGCGACGTAAAATCGTTCACGCTCTATCGGGAGAACGCAACTACGGAACTCGCAAAGAGTAATAACATCCGTTAATTCGGCGAATAAAAAACATTTTGCGCGATATAGGGAAAAAAAAAAAAAAGGAATCGCGACTGAATCCAAAGAGAAGCGCGAGGAGAGAAAGAAGGTTAATACGAAGCCGCTTTATTTGCGAGAAAATGATAAATGCTCACGCGACTGATTGTACAGTAAAATACACACACACACACACGCACACACACAAACATAATGGAAAAAGCATTGATAAATCGCTCGAAAACTATTCTCCGTACAAACCCGTTTTTTTTTACGCAACGGCTCTCGCGTTTTAAATTCAACCGAAAAGCCATCTGTCACCGCTGTAAACATGACGAATGTGTCACACAGCGAGAGGAGGAGGAGGAGGAGGAAGAGAGGAGGAGAAACGCGATTCGCGCGAAGGGTCGATTTTTGATTGAAAAAGAGAAACGACGGTGTGTGTTTTTCGCGACGGGCGCGAATTTGGTCTCGTCTGCTCCGGGAGCCTCCGCTGTTGCTGCGCGGGCCTCAGGGAGAGAGAGGGCGGCCGTTTATCGTGACGAGGCGCGAGGCAACGCGCGCCAGCTGATAACTCGCAAACAAAGAGGCGGGCGACCTGCCTTCGCGCAACAGCACTTTCTACCGCGAACGTCCACTAGAATGCGCCAGCTGAGATCTCATCGTCCCCTCGTCGCACGTACGAGGCCGCTCTTGCTCCGTATATGCGCGCACGGTCTCTACTTGTAGCGTAAACTACATACACGCATGAGTGTACAAACATATATATATCTAAGCATATATATATATATATAATATATATATATATATATACATATTAACGTATGCATACGTACGCGCGCACCTTTATATACATATGTATATATATACTATATATATATATTTATCTACGCCTAACATCCGCCCGATGACATTTGGCACGGGCCGCGGCGATTAAGGAAGCATGCGAACGTAAGAAACAGGGAAGGGGCAAGAGGGTACATACAAAGAGCGAGAGAAAGAGAGAGAGAGAGAGAGAGAAAGAGAGAGAGACATACAACAGACACAAAGAGACAGAAAGAGATACTGACAACAATGCTTGTTCACTGTTATGTGGACGATCAGCACTGCCCAGCACTCTAGCACAGGTTTCCCACGGGGGCGGAGGGGCGCACGGCGACGGCGGCGGCGGCGGCGGCGGCAGCGGCGGCGGTGGCGGTGGCGGTAGCGGTGGCGGGGTGAAAGCGGGCTGTGATCGGACAACGAACAATGCCGAACGCGGAATGGAGAACGAGTTGAACGAGCAGCGGCCACGGCAACAGGAACAACGCGACCGAAGTAACTGACGCGGCGATATATAAACAACGACAACGACGATCAGAATCGCGAACAAAATTCCGGAGCAGATGAGCCGAACGAGCGAGCGAGCGACAGATCAGCACCTCCGCGCTTCGCGAGCACTCGCACGCATTTATCGATGTCAAACGCTCCTCTTCGTCGGCGGCAACAGCGCTCTCTCTGTGCTGTTTGGCGATACGCCGCGGTTACCGGCGCGTTGATTGGCCGAGCGCGATCCCGAGCGCGTCACGACGGCCAATCGCGACCGCGGTAACAAACGGTGCCGCGATCGTCGCGTGCCGCCACCAACACCCCGCCGGCTGTCACGTGAATCTCATGCCCGAAAACAAAACAAACAGCTGGGCCGTCCAGCGTCGCCGCTGTCGTCGACAACGGGGGTTTCCGAAGGCGTTTTGAACGACCGCTGAGCGCAGCTGAACGCGCCGCCGAACAAAGCCGAATCAATCCGATTCGTTACGCTCGCACAATACGAAATCTCAATTGCGACTATAGATTGGAACACACATGTATATAAGTAATTTCCGATTACGTTATTTTCTCTCATCACACACAACGAAAAGAGAAGATTCTGGAAACAATACGCAAGTTTTTTGATATAATGAAATTTAATAGGTTTCTTTTCTTTTTACACTTTATCGCGCTTATCTCTGATTTTTGGAATACAAGTCGCGCGCATTTCACATCCGCGATACCGGTTTAATGCTCAAAATGTCCAACGCATTTTCAAAAACAACTTGCAACGCGTGCAGCATGTATATTCTTGCAACCATCTTGGGAATCAAATGATCCCCCTCCTGCAAAATTATTAAAATACGTTGTACAAAATAATTTCATGTGGCCATATAAAAGACAAAAAAAACCATATACAAAAACACTATACAGTATACTAAGATTAAAAAAAAAAAAAAAAAAAAAAAACAAATTGTTGACTTTGTGCATGTTTTTCTCTCACCATTAGAATTTTGATTTTTCGATAGTAAACGCTAAATTTCTGACATAACCGCAACAGAAACAAACACAATAACTGTGGTTGTACGTGAAAATTCGGTTCGCATTTCACGCAGGCGTCTATCATCTGCGGATATCCAAAAATAAAATTATACACGAGTTCCCATTCTTCCTAAAAGCGAAACAAACACAAATGAAATAATTTATAAAATATTTATGTAAAAATTAGAAAAAAAAACTTTAGAAAAAACTGTGACTTACTTCTTCATTTAATTGTGAAAAATCAACATTTTGAATATTTGGCAAACTGGGATAATCTTCGCATGACACTCTCTCGTTATATTTTGCGATAATTGCTGCTATTCTGGCAGTATTGTATAATACAAACGACGCACCTGAAATATTTATTGTCATAGATATATATTTATTATTTTCAATTTGATAAAAGTCTTTCGTTTATTTTCTTTTGCAAAACAATCAAGTTCAATCTCACATATCTACTCCGAATAAATATTTAAAAGATTATGAAGTTTCTCTCTTTTTTTAGATAATTTTAAAAATTATTTGAAACTTATTTAGAACAATAATTTTATTATCATGAAAAAAAAACAAAAAACACATACCTTTGGTATTGGTAACGTTTTTATCACTTGTTAAATTATTATTATTCCCAATAACAACCGCACGACTTGGTTTCACGGCCATCAATTCAAAAATGACAATGGCACTTGCCAAGGTGTGCAAAAAGAGATTCTTCTGTTCGTCACTTCTCTCGCTCTCAATGATTTTGTACTCGTTCAATTCCGCCAACTGATTCACTTTGCATTTTACATATTGCTCCCACGTAAGATCCGTCTCTTTCAAATTCGATTGAGAATTTTTCACAACACCACAGACATATTTTCTGTACTCTTCGTCGACATGTCCCTCTGATTTACTGGTAAATACGTACTTGCCAGCACAGTTTTTCTCTTCGAGCGGTGACAGCACGTACCCGTGCAAATTCAACACCTTCGCAGCAACGTCTCTCATTATGCTAAGTCGCCGAGTAGTAAGATCAGATTGCGCATCAGGCTGATACTTCAAACTAAATGTTTTACCATTTGATGAAGATCTTCCGAACATCATTCCATGCTCGATTGCCATTCTTATACTGTTTGCTAGAATATCTCCACGATTTAAGAACAAACAGACTCTTTCCTTTTGTAATGAACATTTATGTATTTTTACTGGCCAACTGTCGCTTTCCCGTGTCAGCAGTTTCAAAACCTATTACAAGATTGAAATTAATTAAATTCTTTCTAATTAATTAATTGAGATTTTAAGTTTATAAATTGCTATACACACAATTGATCTCTTTTTAAAATTACAACCGTTGTGTATTTCAACACTTTTTTATATCCAGTAATTTTTTATTAAAAAAAAAAAAAAGAAAATAGAAAAAAAAAACCGAACTTAATTATAGAAAGTATTGCGAAAACGCACAACCGGAACTGATCTTCCTTCAACACTCGAACTATATTTGTTTGCGTATAACACTTGGCACAAATCTCCAGATTACCTCTTCGGCTGTGTTTACGTTGCTTTTCATCGCGTCGTGCGTGTGAGCGAAGTGTTGCAAAATGCTTGCGCAATTCTCGGTGCAATCGACGAGATTCTTCCACGCTTTGAAGCTCCATAGAAAATGCAGCTCTCCGTTTACTGACAGATTCTCGCTGTTCGTTTTGATTACGAACGAATTTTTGTGCACGTTGCCGGTAAAGTGAAAGACAATGTTGTCGGTGAGAGATTTCACGGCGAAATTCGTCCAGCTTTCCATTGAGGTTTTTGACGCGCGCGATAAACGTCAAATTACACTTGCCATTACAGCGAGTTCGCGTTCTACGGTATTTGTTTTTTTTTTTTTTTTTTTTTTTCACACTCTTCGTGCGTGCATTTGACACACGAAGGAACTTCGAAAAGAACGGAAAAAGAAAACAAAATTAATGTGTATTAAAAGAACGTAAGATGCCGACAGAACGAAAAAGTATGCCGCCTGTTTCAGCTGCACTTGACGCATCGAAGATGTTAGGTTATGTCACGCTGTATATTTCCGCGAGACACGCATACTTACAACACGAATCGACGTGAGGCATCACTTTCTTCGTTCAATCAATCGACTTTTTTTTCTATCGCTAATTCATTATTAATTAATTATAACAAATATAAATATTTGTTATTTAGGGTTTCAATAAAATTGTCGAGTATTGATATTTAATAATAATAGTTTAATTTAAAACGCATTTTTTTTTGCGTGTTTCTTATACATGATATTCTATATTTTGTTTTTGTATCTTACAAAGTTCACAGAAAATCGCTACTTTAAGTACGATGTAGGTAATCACGTACATACGCGTGTGCGCGTACGTACGTACGTAGTGGGGCCAGTTTCAAAAACTTGAGAGTAATCCAATCGCGCACACACTGATCGGATTCCAAAGAGAACCAATCGACCGGTTAATAAGATTTAACTGGTGAAACTGACCCGTGGAATAGACAATTTGTGCATCTTTTTGCACGTTTAGACCCGTTCGTTTTACTTCAATGTTTTGCACTTAAAATAAGGACACATGTACGTGGTCATAACTTCGCGAGATACAACAAAAAAAAAAACAAAAAGAGGTACAAGGAGCGCGAGTAAAACGAACAGATCTGTGTATCAATTTCTATGTTTTTTTCACTTTAACGTGGGATATCACTGATTCGATTCAACAAACTTCTCCAATGTTAAACGGAATAATGATACTTGACGTATGCTATGGCCGCGAGATCCTTGCAAAATTCTTCCACTATAACGGCCGTTTCGTACAAAACGTTCTCCTCCTCCCTGAAATCAGACACCGACGTGAAAGAGTGTTGATAAGTGTGAACAAAATATTTACAAACATATTACCGAACGAGGTCGTTTTAATCTTTTGTTTTGTATTTTGATAAATAATATGTGTGTGATAATTCGAGATAAAAATTTTATCTTTGTTTTTCTTTCCTTTTTTTTTTTTTGTCATCAAATGATGTGAAATTAATCAGTTATTTAACTCACTCGTCTTCGGAGCAATCTTCCAGTAATCTCTGCCTTGTTTTCTTCAGTATCGATTTACTTTCCGGTGTTTTCGGTATCTCGCTGACGAGCTGTTTGACGACCTTTTGCAAACACAGGAACAGACTCTTTGTACCCGGGACCAGAGGTAGCAGAGGATTCAACAGGAATTCGTGCAGGTAGGGATGCGGCAGTAACGCTAATTTGGAGATCAATCCCGTGACCTTCACGTTGACCTCGTACGTCTGCCTCGGCATGTTGCCGATTTTGTCGAAGAGCATGCTCAGAAACGGTCCCATGTAGAATCTGCCCGAGCAATGATCGGCCTCAGGCCGCGAATCCGAACTCGCGGAATCGTCCACCATCACCGCCTCCAACGGCCAAGCCATCAGCGCGCAATCGGCAAGTATCGACGAGTACTGACGTTCCCAACCCAGCATGTACTTCTCGTAGTTGTTGACGTCGGAATCCGCTTGCAGATATCGCGGCATTAACGACAGAAAACTGAAATAAAAATCGCATTGACAGTTGATTTCGAAAACTGAGATTTGAAGTTCGTTGATTCTAAACAGAGAGAATTGCAATTGAAAAGTGCAACGCCTGGATTACCAGTTGATAACACGATGGATATTGCTCGGTGCCAAAGTGCGGCTGCGACTTTGCTCGTACGAGAGATCCAGAGATCCCTTCTTTTCCTTCTCCCTTTCGTCCTCCTCGTCGCTCCACGAGGCGATAGCGCTATCAGCGGCGGTATTATCGTAATACGCCCGCGTTGACAAATATATCAACAAGAGACAATGCAATATATGCTCGTTCTTCTTATCTATCGCTTCCTCAAACAGTTTCAACGTTTCCATTGTTAGATCGTTACTGTCCGTAAAACAGTTCTCTATCAATCTGTGCAGCACCGGTGACGTCCACACGTTCGGTATTTCCGGATCTCTGTCTTGCCCGACCAGCCAGTAACTCAGTTCCGTGCACAACGCGGACGAAGTCACCTCCTTGAAGCACTTGGCGACCAATGCCGTGATAAGTATGACGTGATGATCGGTCAGGCCGGGTGTCACTATTCTCTCAAAGAACATCACTCTGATAGTCCTCGCCAGAGTTTCCGCAAGCTCCGGCTGGGCCTCTCTGATCAGTTGGTCGCAATAGTCAAACCACATAAAAAATGCCGCTACCTGCCGGCAGCCAGGAAATTTTTTTTCATTAGTCCATAATGGCGAGTCTAGACCCCACGTGACATCCACATTATAAATCTCCAGATAGTCCACGTGCACCGGAATGGCGTTGAACAAGTTCTCTAGTCGACTAGTGATTATTGTTGGCAGCTCGCTCCTGGCTACCGTTTGCGCGAACAAAAGATCGTCCAGGGAGGCCAAGACCATTATTCCCTCGCACGCTCGTATTCTCACGGTATTGTCCTGAAAATTCAAGCAAACGCGTTAATCGCTATGTTACGCGTTGTTACAAGAAAAAAAGATTGGATAATTGTATAATTTACCGCGCTATTCAAATAACTCATCAAAGCGTCCAACAGAAAACACTTGGATCTTTCCGGCGGCGACCTCAAACTCTGATTATCACCCGCTACGTAAGTCGTCGCGTCATTGTAAGTACCGCAGTCGGAATCCAGTCGCAAGTCTCTCAGACTTTGCAGATGTTTGTCGAGTCTGTTCTCCGAAGAATCCTCCTCGTTCTTTTCTTCCGATTGTTCGCCGTTCTTCACATCTATCGACGGCGAATTGCGAACGGACTTTTGTGCCAAAGGGCTCGATGATACGCTCTCCTCCCTCGAGGACACTGATCCGTTCGATCTTCCGGACGAATCCTTGAAGATCTGACTCGAGAGCTGATGCGGCAACCTCCTCTGTTCCTTATCGAGAAGATTCTGGTTGACCAGGGTGATCGCTTGGGTGTCCAATGGCTCGAACAAAGGATTGGAATTGTTTCTCTTTCTCGTCGGGACGTAGGTCACCTTCTGGATCTCCGTTTTTTCGCTATCCTGTTTGGCGGAAGTGCCTACCGTCTGCACGCTCGATGCGTCATTAATAATGTTGGTCACGTGCGGGTATTTGCACACCAGAAAGCAGATCGTCAGCAGAAATTGCACCTAAAAATTAAAAATTATTAGACTCTCTCTTCTTTACAACAGCAAATACATCTTTGCAGTTGTAATGCAACAAAGATAATGTCAAATTAATACAATCGAAGTTACAAATACAATTTTAATCGCTTGTACCGTTAATTGAAACTATAGTGGGTAGCACAAATTTTGCTGTGATTGCGGCACCATTTTTCCGCCGCAAATGCGCGCACCATCATTTGAAATTGTGCTGGACGATGATTTTTGCAGCAGCTTCGAATTTTGAAACTCGATCGGTGGCGCGACCGAACGAAACCGAAGACGAACGAACGTCGGCCGAAGTCAACACATTCGAAGACGCGCTCCGAGCGCATATCGCACTAATCACCGGTATTGTGCGTGTTGTTCTCTTATATTTCACGAGTGTGTACAGACAAGAGTGAAACCCAAAAATCTTGTGTTTCGAAACTGAAAATAACAGCACGCACGCACGCGAGTTTATCTCAGAGATCGAAAGCGTCTGAAGTCACTGAAACGGTGCGTTCTATCTTGAAAATGAACTAGAAAGACGGTCTTGAATACTTCAAGAACACACAAGATTGTGGAATGTGTTCATCGATTCATCGGGATTCATTGGTTGAAACACCGTCGAGCTTTGTCAAAAAATATGGTACGAGACGCGCGTATCGCGCGTGCGTTTCTTTTTCACGTAAAGGTAAAAAACAACAATTAAAAATTTCGAAGCTGTATCGCGGAAAGCAAGAAAACGCACGCGCGCGAACGCGACATTTCGAAATCGTAGGGGGCGGAAGAGGGTCAGTGACACGACCGAACGTGGTCGAGGAGAGGCGGAGTCGACCGAGAGCGCATTCGAAGTGCACCGTTTCGCGCCGGCGGACGCGTCGCATTGTTCTCGTTCGGATCGACGACGGTATCTCGCGTGTTCGGGAAGCGAAGACGGAAATCGCGACCGATCCGAAGGATCGTTTTCGCGCCGCGTACTGACCCCGCGCACGTGACCGAGAGTGCGTCGTGTGTATCATCAGGAAATAGTTTGATTTTGTTTCGTCGTCGTGAAATCAGTCGCGCGCTCGTGTGTTTTGCTTGCGCGAGAACGAACCGAAGTTGGCCGGGGAAGCGCGCGTTTCGTGTGTTCGCCGCGTCGCGTGTTTTTCACAGACACAAAGTTGTTGCGAACGCGAGTTGTTGAGTGACGGAAGAAGAAAAAAAAACGACAATCGGTAGAGCGCATTGTGAGATCGTTCCGTACTGACTGGCAAGAATGGAATTTTCAACGTGTTTTTTTTTCATGTGAGGACGGATGAGAGAGGAAGCAGCGCGTAAACGCCAGCGGATGTAGCAACGAACGACGGATCACGTAAGTACATTATATACGTAGATATATTACAAATGAGATATATCGCGCGCGAAAGAGATTTGAAGGGGTTTAAAAAGCGAAATACCTCTTCGGCCTCCATCGGCGACGGCGGGTTGCCGTTGCAGAGCGCCACGAGTTGTTGTATTGGCGTGTAGATCGACGCATGATGCAGCAAAGGATACTTGGATCTGCCTAACAGTTTTCTGAGAAAGGCGAGACAAATCGTTCGCATACCAGGCGGCGTCTCCGCGCCGGCCAATGTCGCTAGCAAGTCCAGAAGCTTGTGTTGCAAAAGATACTCCAAACAGGGACCCGGTTCATCTCCGTCTTTCTCTTCTTGCAACAGTATCTCCAACAACACGTCCAAGTGTCGGGGTATGTTGGTGCTTTGTACGGGAACCTTGCAGTCGGTCAGATGACTCACATAAAAGTTCATCAGTTGTTTCCAATGGTAGGTGAAATCTTGCAACGGTGTTGCCGGGGGTGCTATCTATAAGTGCGAATTTTGAGCGTCGTGATGCGATTCTTTCGCTGTGATTTGTTGTGTATTTGCAACGCAAGATCACATGTACGAAAATTACATATTGAAAAATAATTTTAAAATTCATATTTTAGTTAACAAATATTATAAACTCAAAATATCTTAGGACATCTATCGTATCGCTAATTGATATTCAAGTCACTTTTTTTATATTTCTACATAAAAAATACATATAAAACACAACGTTGCTTTTTATTTCAACTAGATGTACTTTTTTATTCTTACTTGAAGAAAAAATTGATTTTGTATTTTAACAAGTGATGTAAACTATTTTAAAAGTTTCTTTACACACATAATTATAATAAAATTATGCCGAAAGATAAGATAAAGAAAGAATAGATGTGAATAAACAGAGTGTGCTTGTCTCACAATTTATATAAAAGCTTCGCAAATTTTAATATTCTTAGATTAAAAATTGATCTACATTTAATTTTAATATCGATCTGACATAAAAAAAAGTAGAATGCAAATGCTCTGTTGATAAACAGTCTCTCCCTCTCTCTCTTTCGCCCCTCTCTTCCACACACACACACACACACACACACATACACACATACTCCCTCCCTTTTCCTCTTTCTATGTCAATATATCATGTTCGCGCGATCAATTTTTCAAAACAAATAATTACAGTACAATTTTCCTAATTATTTCATGTGACGCGACGCGTCTTGGATAGTTTTATATCCTGTCACTGAAACCCCTCCCTTCTTCTGATTAAGTAATATGTCAGTGTTCTTCTCGTCTCTCTCTCAAACGCAGTTGCGCGTTACTGTGGCAGACGTTCTTGTCAACGTCGTCGTCGTCGACGACGACGACGTCGACGACGACACAGACATAACATTCGTCACTCACCACGTCAATGGCATTCTTCAGGGCGCTTTGAATGCCGCTGATCATGTTAACTCACTGGCTCGGTACGCGATCTCTTTGCACGCTTTCTTCATTCGTAAATTCGCGGGATGTTCGCGCAAACTACCGCCCAGACACAACGCTTCATCGTACGTGCGAAACGAACTGTCCGATAGCCGGCTGCTCTCCTCGCGACTTTGACGTGTCCGATAGTGTCAAACGGTCGGAGCTCGCACCAGATGGCGACACCGGACTCGTCGACTGGTGCATGCGCTTATCGCGCGCGAATACACGTATATATATTCGGTTTCACGCGCGCGCGTGTTATACTACGTACACACTTTAAAATTGTCATTCGCGAGCGTGTGGTGAGAATGTGTAATACATGCCACAGTTGATCACTGAACTCTTCTGCAAACGCGTGAGAAGCAGGGGTCTCCGTTCTTATTTTACGTTTTATAATTAATTAAGTAATTGCCGCATGTGTAACGACCTCGAATCTTGTAAATACGCGAACTTGCATCGAACGATATGCGTCTCATAGGACGCAGCTGAGTAAATGTTCGATGAGGAAAACGTACTGCGATCAATGAACACACATGCGTGTTACAGATGATTAATAATAAAGCTATTAAAACGTGCCTGTGTGTGTGTATATATGTATATAAGAATAGAGAAAAATTAGAGAAAAGACACGTAAAATTACATAATAATAATAACACAAACTATTTGGCAAAAGTTGAGAAATTGAGTCAAAAAAAAAGAAAAACAGGATTTTTGAAAAATGCGATTATTTTTAAGTAACAATTCTCAAGATTAAAAATACACACATATGTGCTTTTTTTTTCGAATTGTATACATCACACAGAGACGAGACAAAATTAATTTCACGACTAAATAAAGCAATCATTTATACATAAGAAAACTGTTTTTTTTTTTGTTTTTTTTAATTTACGATTATTTATTCTCAGAATCAACGTGTGTACATAAATAACAACATTAATGTATGTAATATACGCTAGGTGTAAAAAAAAGTCATGCGACTTCGAGAGAGACACTGCTTCTTTGACAATGCTCGCTTGTTTTGTGCAATTGTCTTCTTTTTTTTGTCTCGCTCTTCTCATTCTTCTCGTTTCTCTCTGTCGCTTCGTCGTCTTCGTAAATAATTTCCTATGACGCGTACGGCAGTAAGGAAATATTTCTCTCGAGATATCGCGTACGTATTTTGTTCACGTATTTTACACTATATGTCCGTTGTTTGTTTTTTTTTTTTTTTGTTGTATATACAAGCACACATTGCAATCGCATCTCAATGGATCAATTTCTCAATCTTGTCTTTTTTATACATATAATTTTTTCACTTTCTCTTTCTCGAGTAAATAAATAATCGCCATTTCTCTTTTAATCGGAGAAGAATTTTTCTCGGCCACACAGAGATATCGAGTAAAATGTGAAACTTTACGTTTTTATTTAAAATATTCTCTCTCTTTCTCAAAATATCCTTTAAAAATCTTTTTTTTTTTTTTTTCTAATACAATCTTACGAATATAATAGATGTTGCGCTTATGTAACAGTGATAATAGTAGTTTCTCTGAATTCGTTGATCGACGCGCGTCACAATTCCCTCGGTAAATATGAAAAACAAAAAAGAACAAATATATAAATACAAAAAGAGAAGAACGTCTCAGCGTTGTATACGTTGCGCAAGAAAATTATTTACATTTTGGCTCGTCTCGCGTATTTGACATTCTATTTTTAATTTGCAGTTCAGATTTCGTAAGTACTCACCGACTTGAGTGCTCGTAATCGTCGCAACATGGCCGCGGAAGAAGTTGAAAAATCTCGCGAGAAGAATCGTATTGTGTATTTTCTATCGTTTTTTTCGATCCCCTGCGGAAATGTGTTTTCTGCTCCCGTTAAAAAAGAAAAAAAAGTCACATCAACACACCGATGCGGTTCGAGAGAACGTTCGCTATCGGGCTTCGTGTCTTTATCGCGATAAGGAGGTTTATTACGTTAGTTAATATAGTCGATAAGACTTTTCGACCTGCCTTATCTCACACGCAATCGTTTCACGGCATTTAATAACTCGATAATGAGATAACTACATATACAGAATGTATGTATAAGTCAACGAAAGCATCTGGTGACGGAAATTCGCTATGTTGGAGAAAATGAAACTTTTTCGATAATAATTTGTTTTCCCAATCTTTAACCTGTATTTGTATGTTTAACATGTGTGTTTCTTTCTATTTCTGATTCGAAAATTAACTGAAAAAAGAATTTATATAAATGATAGTTTGATCTTTTTGTTACATGTCAAAATATAAAATTCACTTGCGTGAATAGTTTTACATCTTCAGTTGTTTTTTTTTTTTTTTTTTTTTATTATTATCGTTAAAAGTTATCGAGACGCTCGTGTGACATTTGTATTTTGCAACGTAAATTAGTTGCAACAATAGAAAAAAAAAAGAAACTAATCACAAAGACAAAACGTCGTTCGACAACTTCGACAATACAATGGCTGCGTGACGCAAATGAAAAGGAACAACTGGAAACCACAAGCACTCAATCAAATGTCGATGAAAAACTGCATTATTTATTTTGCGAGTTCGGGCGAATTGCTTCGCATTTTATTTTTCATAGTCGAATACGTAATATATTTCCGCGACGCGAATTTAAAACAATCAATTAAGTTGTTCGCATTTCGTCGTACAATTGTATGTGATAACGTGCGTAATTACATATAATGTTATGTATTTACTTATGTAATATTTTCCGCAGCGATAGCTCGCTGCAACTCAAATGTTTTTGCTTTTTTTTGCTCGCTCAGTATTATTATTATTATTATTATAAACTTATACACGGCAATTTTTTTTTTTTTTTTTTTTTTTTTTTCAAGTTCTCTTATCTCCCGCTCCGTTTTCTCAAACAGAGAACGTCACGCGAGATGACGATCGATATCGTTAATATCGCTAAATAATATATTATCATACTTGACCGCCATTAAGAAAAGAACGTCTCTACGCGTTCTCGAGCTCTTTATAATAATTTCTCGCAGAAATATCAACTATAAGTATATTCACCGTTCTAATCCGCTAGAATTACAATCTTTGTGCTCTCTATGTACATGTAAATATTTCATATCGCGCAAGTTTCGGATTTCTTGTTCGTTCCCTCTTAAAACTGCACTCTCTCTATCTTTATCTCTATCTCTATCTCTTTCTTTCTCTTTCTCTCTCTCTCTCTCTGTCTCGCACTCGCTACGCTTAAAACGAGACGTAAACATACGCACCGCGTATGTTAAAACTTTTTTTCAGTTTTTGAAAAAAAGATCCGCAATCTATCAATATGGCTCGCATGTGTTCGCGAGTCCTTTTTGTTTTCTGACTAGCAAACTATTTCTTCGGAAAGAATCTCACAGAAGAGCTAGAGTGTTTTCTAAAATAGGAGGAAACGAATGAACGGATTTGTAGAAAGTGCAGCTGAAACGAACAGGAGAGACTTGATATTTTTTTTTCTCTTTCTCTCGCTCGCTCGCTCGCTCGTTCGTGCTCCCACTTGCTCGATCGTTCACTCAATTTATATATCTTTCTCATACCGTATGGATTTTACATTACAGTTTTATAATTAAATTGGAGCTAATTCGCTACCGAAAAGACCGCGTCTTCACCGTCTCTGCGAGGCCACCGCGGCGACCAGAGCTGCACCACGACCGCTGCCATCTTCCGACAGCATCAAATCGAACTGCAAAAAAAAATTTAATGGAATTTGAAATATTTGACGTGTAATGTGTCAAATATTTCTTTGATTGACGAACAATTTACCGACATGTGTGTGTGTGTGTGTATTTGACTGATATATTTAACATTTACATAAACACTTTTCGTTTATCTCACCTTGTAACTCTGAAGTTCACTGATTTTTGCCGTCATGAGGTCGTGGAAATGCGGGTGATATCGATAGACCGAACCGTCGATACCCACTGTGACATTGTTCTCGCCCATTTTATTCAGCAACGTCGCCAATCCCGCGCTCGCCAGATGCGCCGCTCTCCTCGATACTACCGAGCACACGTATCTCACGTTCTCGCAATCCTGATCGCTGACATTTCGTATACCAAGTTCGGCCAACACGTCTCGACAGTTCGTGTACTTTCCTTTGGGATCGCTGAAATTTTCAGACGTGATCGTCCGATTCTTCCGTTTCGCTTATCGGTGCAAAGACAGACTCTCCTACTTACTTTTCGATTTCTGATACGTATTTGGTGAAGAACTTGCCCCTCTTTCGGAGATCGCTCGGACACTTGCCGCCAAAAAGAAGACCGTCGTTCACCAATTTCTCGAGTACCAATCTCGTGAGCTCGCCCATATACATACCGGAGATCATCTTCTCGAATAGCTGCTTAGACGGATTGATGGAATTCTCGTCGATGGCGCGGTCAAATTCCGTCGTCACGAAATCGAGCACACCCTCCTCACCGAATGCTCCCCATTCGGTGTTGATGAGCATATGAGGTTTCTTGTCGTCGTAATTGCCGGGAATGGCGGTCCGCACGTTCGAGGTCTTTTCGACGTAGCAGGCGTTACTACCCGTGCCTGTAAATGCGAGAGAAAGAGATGACTTTACGATTTAAATTCACTACAGGAAAAAGAGAAAGAGAAGGAGCGAGAAAATTGATAAATTTTTCAATAAATTTTAGTAGATCGGAGAAGTTAGTTTTGCGTACCGACTATTAAACCAATCCGACAGTTTCTATTCTTCCAAGCACATGACATTAAGGTGCCGGTTGTGTCGTTCAGGATGGCACACACGTCAATCTTAACGTCCTGCGAAATATTAATTTTCCGCTTAATTTTCACCACCACACTTTCAGTTATTTAAATGCAATTGATATTTCGAAATTGTTCTCATATATACGCTGTTTCACGAATGAACGCGCTTACGTTTCTTTTTCTAATTGCCTCCTCGAGAAGGGCGACGACGTCCTCCCCGATCACTCCGCTGCAATTGAAACCTTTGGTCCATCGCACCAGATGTCCCTGTGTCAGTCCTCTCTGCGTCAGGGGAAAACTGAAAGTGAATCCCAGCGGCAGCACCTGGTTTTGCAGATTCAGGTCTTTCACGAACAACGCCAGGCACTGAGCGATATGATCGAACAGCTGAGTGCCAGTGCCCAGCATCAAGGTCTGAGGTATCGCGTAGATTTTGCTCTTCATGTCGAAGTTTTGACCGTCCAACGTGATCAGTAACACTCTGAAGTTTGTGCCGCCCAGATCCAACGCCAGAAAGTTACCTTTCTCTGAAACAGAAAGATATTATTAAATTTTGTTGGCGATTCCGGCGTGTGTTGACCTTTTTGAAGTTTTCTCGATAAAAATAATATCCGACCGCACTTTCGACGACTTACCGGTGCCGTTTGGCAGATCCTGCACGTATGTGGTGAAACACTTGACGATCGCTTCGTCGTGGGTCTCTCTCGACAGGCCCTTGTTGATCTCGTCGGTGAGCCTCTGCATGACCAGACGGAGCTGTTCGTTGGACAGGACCAGGTCCTTGCAGGCATCGCGTATCTGTCGGGAGAGCAGAGAGAAACGTAACTATGAGAGAGGAACAATTTTTATCGATTTGCGCGGCGATGTTATTGGGATGACCTTGGCTCGTCCTTCGACAATACCGCGCGCGCCGCGCGCGCGACCGCCGAATGCGAGCGTGTTGCATAACGCTTTTACTATATGCGCATATAACAAACGAGTAGGAGCGCGCGCGAGAGAGAGGCGATCGATTCCTTCCCTTATATCGATTTCCGGCATCAGATGTGAGAAACTGTTACACGGGGGTGCTTGGATATTACAGAGTCGTTCGTTTCTAAGGATTCTTCTCTTTCGCCACACAATTTTTTGAGGGGAACCGACTTTTCTCTTCCCGAGGTTGTATTACACGTCGGATTAAACGCGCGCATATCGCATTTCTATATTTACACGCGCTATCGCACTTTGTCCTTAAGTTACAATGGGGATTTGTCATGTTTTTTTTTTTTATAGCACCGGTTCTTTAACGTACAAAACGCAAGCATCACAAAAAGAACTTTATGAATGACGTGTTTAAAAAACAGAATACACGGTTTACGTAAAATATATGTACACGCGTTTATGAGCGCGTCGCGCGTTGAAAGGAAACTCGTGCAGTAGCAAATTTTGCAGAATGTACAAAGAAACAAAACAACTCTATTAATTAGTACGAATATCTTTTCGCTTTTAGAAGAGACGTAATTTATTTAAACTTCACTTCTTGGCGATAAATTTTTTCTATAAATGGTCTGATCTCTCTCTCTCTCTCTCAAGTATCAACAAGAGAAAAAAATAAGAGACTAGAAAATGCATCGTTCGAAATTTACAACAATACTCGAGAATTGTCGTTAGAGAACAGACGTATTAAAGAATATCATATTTCCCGCCAATTTGTTTGCGCTCCGCTTCCCCTTCGAGGGCAGAGCATCGATCTATGACGTCACTGACACACCCGCCCGCTGGCCAATAGAATCACTCATGAATGAATAGCATAGAATGCACACGCAATATTTTCTCCTCTGCTATGGATTCGTGGCGAATATCAAGGCTGCGTGCAAAAATTGCAACGGTTGTGTTCGTATGCACGTTGCACGTGGCGGCAACAATTTTTTAATTGCAAATTTACACACTATTTATGACCGATTATTATAAACACACGAACGCACATGTGTGATAACGTGTCGTAAAACTCTTATTGAATTCTTAATGAAAGAATCTCGTTTTACGATTACCGTGGGTTATCAACCGTGGCGGTGGTAAACGCGATAATAATTAATGCGCGTAACATGCTTTCGTCATAATCGCTGCGAGATGAGTTGTCAATACGTTTTCTCTCCGGACAACTCTCGATTTTAGAATTTTTTTTTTTTGTAGTGTTTCAATATACCTGTTGCGCGCGCGCGACATCATTAAGAGAAATTATTAATTAATTTTTTTAAATAATTATTAAGAATTAAAAGGAAAAGATACACAGTTACATGTGAATTAAAAAAATTGCTGAATGTAACTCGGTTTACGGTGTGTCCGGATATACTGTCCCTTACGCGAGCGACGAAACAATTATTTTGTTCTCGTTTTATATTTATTATCGTTAAACGCACTAAGATTCCAGGGGGGGGGGGGAATTGGTTGTTGCAACCGCATCAAAAGGTGACATCAGAAAGTGAGTAAGCGTGTGAAAAATCGTACAACATTCCTGATATCGCACGGAGCAAACATCGGATGCTTTCAAATTAGCGAATAGGAAGAATAGATAGATAGCAAATTAAATAGAGGCGCACGCACGCATCACATCAGAGAATAAAAGTGACATGGCCTCCACGTGCTCTAATGATATATGTGTAACGCATCTCTGCGCTTGGCGGTAAACGTCTTTACACTCGACAAGAACGTATGAGAAGCGATGTCATGAAAATATCTTTATGAATATATCAGACGTCATTAACGCACGTGACTGTTAAACCTTCGACTCGGAGTAATAAAACTTATCTTCGTTCTTTGAGCCGCTCTCTTCATTTCATTTGTGTTCTCCAAACTTTTCAAGATTTGCAACTACGATTTGCGATTCACTATGTTTAATTTATAACAACCAAATTGACATTGTTATTTAAATTTAGCGTGTGACTGGATTATTTGTTGAAATTTTTATCTGACGTTGAAGCATCGCGTGTGTGTGCATCTTAATTCTCTCGGTAGAAACGGTATATTCGTTAAAAATTAATATAATTTTATTACACAAGAAAATTTATCTCTCTTTGATTCTCCCTCACACCATTTGTACAAGTTACGACATTACGCTCAGAAAGAGAAAAAGTGAGAGAGATAAGGTTTCGATATTTGAATACGATTAAACGATTCTGTTATGATGCCGTTGACATCGTTGACATTTAAGAGAGACGCACATTTCACATGCGAAATTCTGTTTATGGCATTCCTCTCTCGTTTGCACGCGAATATCACCAAATTTTTTCGGAAATTTTGTTTCGGGACAAATTTTCAAAGCAGTACCGTTTCTATCTTTCCGCAAACAAAATGTTGGAAAAGAAAAATAGCGAATAGTGAAAAATTTACATTTTTTTTATAAATATTGTACGCATGTGTGTGACCTTTGAACCTCGGGCGATTTGTTTAATTTATCGAGAAAGTAATTGCTAACGTGAATTAACTGATTTTTTTTTTTTTTTTCATTCAGTCTTTCACAGAAGTGAAGAAGTGCAAAAGCGAAATTTTCAAAAATTATTACAAATCTCCATTTCCTGTTTTCGCTCACGTTGTAATTCGTCAAATTGTCAATTTGTTGTTTATATTCGCAAACGCGTGTTAAATCATAAAAGTGTACATTTTTCTGACGCTTTCCCCTGTTTTTGCATATTTTCCTTGAACGATCTACTTCCTTTAGATTGTTTCCACGTTATCATTTCTACTAACGTTTCAACTCGACACAATTGAAACTTGAGCAAAAATCGATCTATTATTCTGCATATGTGATATAAACGGACCTGCTTCGGCGCATATTTTCTGATAAAGAAATTTTTTAATTCGACTCCACTACTTCTCGATAAGATTTAATTTCTCTTCTGTTCCGATGGGGGTCATTGGACTTGTACCGTACATACAGATATAATATGTGTAAAATTTAACATATGTTTTTTTTTTTTCATAGCGTTATCTATGTCTCGTGGCTTTGCACATAAATTTTTATTTACATAATCGATTTATTTTGGTGAGCAAGATGTTTAAAAGAAAATTCACCGCGTTCTATTCAGTTTGCACATTCTCCCTTCTCCGCGATATTTTTCATTCTTTACTGAGAAACAATAATTACATAACACCGTAACACGAATTGACGAAGCGACAGATAATAACATATATATACATACATACGCGAATGTAAATCCGATTCGTCTGGTATTATCGCACACTGCCAAGTGTTTCACGAATATGAAACACGTGAAAATTCTGTCAGATCTATATATATACGTATATATTTTTTTTTTTTTTCACCCGACCAAACTCGCGTCACGGATCTTGCTTTGTAACCTGAAATGTTTTTAGAGTCCGAAGTGTGTATAATGTCACGCGTGCACAGTCGCACACGACGACATGGATTCACAAATCTTGTTCTTTAAAAGCTCCCTTTTTCACTTTTTTCAAACTTTTTTCGTGAACACTCGACTCTTTCTCTCTCTCTATATATATATCTCTCTCTGTCTCACCTCCTGCTTGATCAAGTCACTGCACGATAACGTGGACGTCTTCATGGCTATGCCGCACTCGCCAGCGCAGTCCTCGAGTAGCTTCGTGGTGGCTTATTAAAAGCGATCGGCGATCGTGCAGAAAAAAAACGCAACACTCGTTTGCGTCACTTTGTTTTGCGCAGTGTCGACCAAAGAGTCGTCGTCGTCGAGAGAGTCTCGACGCTGCCCGTCGGGAAGAGAACTAGTTCGACGCTACAAAACGGAGCTTCCTTCCTTTTGCCTCGACAAGAAACGCAGTTCTCTCCGTGAACTTTATTTCACTACTGGCTGGAATGACGGCGCCTGTTCGTTCGTTCCTCATGCTCTGCCGAAGCCGGTAGAGGGAAATGAAACGTTCATAGTGGGGCGAAAGGAGGCCATGGAGGAGGCAATGGTTCCAGTGATGGATCTATTTCTTCGATTCGCCCGTGATCTTTCTAGTTTCTGCACGAAAGATTTTTCTGATTTTTAATTTAAGAAAAAAAAAAAAAACATTCGGGGGCGGAGGTGAGAGGATTCTTCTTTCTTGTGTTCTGTTGTTGTCAAAGTGTGAACTGTTCGAATTCCGGAAGAAATCGAAAAAAGTTAATTAATGTCTCGCTTTCTGATAATCGCATATTACAAATTTTAAATATTTTTACACGTAGTAAAATCTTTGATTTTTACAACGACATGTTTCAATCCTCGGAAAATGATGTTTGCAAATGCACTTCGCTTTATCTCCGTCTTTCTCTCTCTCTCACCTTCTGGCTTTTCTCACATTCCTTTGTGTACAAATTGTTGCACTTTGTTCTCATCAATCTTTATCCTGATTTCTGCTCCGTGCATTTCTTCGGATTATATTACGTAAGAGAACGTTGTACGAAGGTCATGTGTGATGAAATGTGTAAAATGTCATAATTAGCGAGATAAGTCGAATGTGTAAACACGTGTTTGAAGATTCGTTCGATCAATTACGAAATTGCGCTTGTGCGCAAATAATGAACACATCTTCAGACAATTACGTTGTATATTCGAGCTGAGATAAATTTCTTCGCTCGTTCGATCACATTGACAAATGTCATTGCGCGTAGTAAATTTTATTTTGTATTTCAATGAATCTCTCTTTTGCGCAAAATAATCTCGTGATTATTCTCTCGATTGTGTAAAACTTTAATTTGTTTTTCTGTGATATTTTCTCCCCGTTTATTTTCGTGTGCTCACTCGTCGTTAACACGTTCGCTGTCACGCGTTACGCATGCGTGACGCACGGATTTCCCGCCGGCGTTACACATGTGTGAAAGCGGCTGGTATTGAACATGTCATGTTCTCCAGAAAATAAAGTTTAATAATTGAACAAAACTGCTAAAAATAATAAACGTGATTCGGGATAAAGATTTTTTTGTTTCGGACGGTGATGTAGAGATAAACGCGTTAAATTTTTTATTCACCGGTATGAGCGTCCTCAAAATCGATCGCCCCCATTTCATTGCAACGAGCCGGCACTGAGATAAATCTGTCAGAAGAAATACGCGGAGGGAGAACAGTTAGGGAGAATAGAAGGGGTGACTTTCCCCTCGCGCGCTGTGAAGGTGGAGGCTCGTCCTCTCAAGGGCGAATAGGTCAAGCGTTTTCTCAAGCGGGTATTTCCCTTAATTGTTGCATCATGATCTAAGTTGATTGACCATGATCGGATAAACGCGTGTTTGTATCGTCATTCGATAAAATGCGTTGCTTTCACCTTTCCTCGAGCCGGTCTTCGCAGATCTTGTTAATGACGTTGTTTCACGTTGCGCGGAATGTTTTAACGATATCTCGAATTCCGTCATTTAACAAAGTTATTGCGCTTTTGCGAAAGTAATTAATATTAAAAAAAAAGAAGGCCAAACACGGTTGGTTGTGTAAAAAAGTTTTATTTTTATTATTTTCCAAACGTTTCGATCGAGAGGGGGAAGATGGGATCTCTATCTCACATGCTTGTAGTAAAGTCAATCGTTAAGACGAAACCAAAGTCATTACGAGTATGTATATGTCAAGCACAATTAAAGAATAGTATTAACATTCTTTAAATCGCACAAAAGTGTGACACTCGATGTATCACCTTAGGGCAACGTCCAAATAAGCGTGATACAACTTTTCTTCGTATTTTAATTCAGAGCAACTTCATTTTCGCGTGTGATAAGAGTTCGAATTAAATTGGTTATTAAATTGATCAATTGTGAAATTAAAGCTGAAGTATATTGGACAACGACAGCTTGCTGTTAATTGCATCATATATGATGAAATTGAGAGCGAGATAAACTTTCTCTCTCTCACTGACCTTAGTTAATAATATCAACAAGTTTATTTATAGTATCAACAATTTGTATTTATAGTATTATCAGTAATATTGCTAAATATGTTAACAAATATATTTGTTGATATTATTAATCGACGATATTAGCGATCGTGTGCAAAGTCCGTATTATATTTCCGACTGTTGCGATCTTACGTCGGCGACGCGATTACAACAAACTTGAATAATATTGTTGATGTCAACTAACATTGACGATTGATAGTGACAGTATGATATTATTGACCGTGCAAGGTCCGTAATTCGAGGCAATGATGCAACGCGTTTCAGAGGCGCGCGTTTGAATACAGAAGGAAGTGAGAGTTCAACTCGCGATTGGTCGGCCCTGGAGGCTCGCCCGTTCAATCCTTCGCCAGTGACGTCATGCGCGGATGGAGAGACCGCGAACCGTGCTCCACGTATCGCGCACATAAATTCTATATATTTTTTCGGTTCAGAGTTTTCTTTCTTCCTTTTGTCTTTTTTTCTTCACAGGACATGTTTACTCTCTTTGTTTTTTTTTTCTACCAATGTTTTTTTACGCGTTGCATTCAATCTCTACGATTGCTTCTTTCTTTCATTTATTTTATATCGTATTTCCGTAACACGGAGAATTCCGCGTTATCATCGCGTGGAGTTATTGTAATTTATGTGAAAATTATATACGTATCAAATATTTGACTCGATATAAAATATATTTTTATTTATATGAGAAATCGAAATTAATTTTAGCGCGGCGTGATCGTGAATCGTTAAAAATTTGCATGTTGCGACATGGGTGTGGAAAGACAGGAAACGTGTTACGTGCGATTATCTGCGATTCCGCGAAAGAGATCTACTTCTCCTGCACTGTAAGACGTTAATCTTCCGCGGTTTACTACACCTCTCCTGGACTGTCAATAAATATAAGCCGCGTACTGATAAACCGCGATCGATAAGATCGCGTTCACTTAGTCACGGATTATTAATGTAATTTAACGACGCCATTTTTTCGCGCGTCGCGATATACAACAATTGTACCGCAAATATAAATAGCACAACACAGTGTACACACACTACGTACACTAATATACGTAATATTTCAATCATTTTCTCAATCATTTACCGTGTTATTACTATGTTTATATCATTTTATGTCATTTTTATATTTTATTTGAAAAAAATCGATTAATTAATTAATTAATTTTGAGCAACATGTTGTCTCTCCATTTGGCTGTCTCTAAATATCTGTTCCGCAAATCTCGATTTATACGACAAGTTTCTTTCGTTTCTTTCAGCTAGAAAAATCGTAATAAGTGCGATGTATTTACATTAACAGTCGCGAGGAAAGTAACGAAGCATTTAGCATTTACCTGGAAAGGTAAACGATATTTTTCGCATCACCGTGATGACGTAAATTTGCGGTTTGCGTACATACATAGGCGCGATACACATTTCTTTCTTCATCAAAAGAAAAAAAAAACAATTTTGACGTTATGTTTTTTTTTCTAACAAGATTTCTAACAATGTCACTCGCTTTTTTTTCGTCGAGCGTAAGAGAGAAAGAAAAGAAACAACAAGAAAAACGTTCGTGTTCCGGTCTCGAACACTTTTGAACACTTGGCAAAAAGAAAAGAAGCAAGCGGATTTTGTTTTTTTTGCTGACCGGAAAGTCCGACGGCGATAACCCTGACACGACTGTAATTGATAAATTATTCTTATCGGTGAACAATATTGAATAGCTTCACGACGAATATATTTTTTTTTTTTTGTTTTTTTTTTATCAGATAGAGACGGAGGCATTTGAGACGGAAACTGTCGCTTTTTTAAGCGGGATTTGGTGTGACGACAGATAAGACGCGCTGAGACGCGTTACGTCTGACGATAAACCTTCTCTCTCACATGTCGCGTGTAATGTAATCTCTTGTTTTTTTTCTGCATTTAATTTATCGCGATAAGATTGTCGTTCGGTCTCGATAGCATCTCGTTATTCGAGTGAAACAGAGATTTTGTCGTACGAAGATTATGTTCCTTTACCACCAATGGTAATATACACCGAACGCGCTATACGCGTCGAAAGAATATCCGGTAGGTATTATTTTAAGGATACACCTGACCGCGCGGAGACGAGAGAAATGTGCGTACGTTCGAATGTTCACGTACGCACGAATCCACGCGTCTCCGCACGTAGATACGTGATTCGCACGCGGTTGTGGAACAACGCGTTCAATGGCATTTTCGACCGGCAAATTAATAACGCGAATATCATTCGGCGCAATTGTGTTGCTTAAATCAATTGATTAATTAATCGCTTCGCGAACGATTCAATCCGGTCGAAAGCGCTACAAAAGACGCTTGTCGTTGCAAAAACAAAAAAAGAGATGTGGCAAAAAATCGAGAATTAGAGTTTTAAGTTTTAGAGTTTTAAGCAACCTTCGGGGAAAACCTACGCGAGATAACAGCCGCGATTCATATTCAACGTTTCAATCGGTGGTGACACCATGTGCGATACTGATTTCGCTAGAAAAATGCGTCGCACTTATTGTTTGTCAACGCGTCGAAATGCGCTCATTTCTCGCTACTTGACTGACCGTCTCTCATATCGTGCGATAACTTTGATTTAATTTCTTAGCGCTAAGTCTTACCAACTATCTACTGTGTGTGTATGTGTGTGTGGGTAATTCTAATTAAATACGAGTGTAATCGAGATGAGAAACATTGTTGAGTTGCCTGTTTAGATACTTCGGGGGTGCACATCTCCATTTCATTGTTGTCGCAACACGGTCTCCGAACGAGCACCGTAATCGGCTGGAATCAGTATGCCAAGATTACGCTCTCTTACGTTCTCCCTCTTTCTTTCTCTTTATATCTAGTTTCTTCGAACATTTTTTTTTTGTTTTTTTAAGCAAAGATATCTCTAACAAAAAATTCTCGAAATTCCATAATGCGCAACGTTTTTATTATCTAACCAAGAAATAGAAAAATCTTACATTACGCGCTACATATATTTCGACAATTTTATTTTTGTGTCTAATTAATATAATTTATACACAATGAGTTATACCAAATTTGCTCCGAGTACGTAACCGTGTTCCATGTACGCAAAAACACGTTGATATTTGATATTTTTGATTGTTTTGTCAAAAAGTGACGGGAATGAAACGGCACGCTGATGGAGACATATGGAAATTGCAATGAAGTGCGCCGAGAAAAACTGTACAGTGCACAGTTTGTTTTTTTTTTTTTTTTCGAAATAAGATGCTATTTTTATAGTGGAAAACAAAATAATACTGAAGAAATTTGTAACACTTTTATTTTTATGTTTTATTTTTTTATTTTTTATTTTTATTTTTTTTTTTTTTTATTGTATTGATGTACGAAAGAACTTGTGTAAATTACCTCGACCGTTGGATTTAGAGACAATTCACCGTTATCATTTTTCCGGGATGTTCCTTTCTTGTAACATCTGCATATCTTGCTGAACAATGATCTGTTCTTTGTTTTCATATCGTCAGCTCACCTCGACACCACCCTCGATCTTACTCGTTTTCCTCACTTCCTTACGCTCGACCGAGAAAAAGACTTCGATACTTTGTAAACGACCGCACTGTCTGTTTGCGGACCGTCTGTGAACGATATCAAGAGACATCTGACCCTGAGCAAAATCTTACGAAATAATTTTGATCAGCGTGTTATTAGCGCCATCTGAAAGCGTTCGCCTTTCGAAATATATATAGCACAAGAACACTAAAAATCAATACGCCAGGTGAAATAACGCTGGCGAATGTTACCTTAAGCGTGGCAAGGTTTGTGCAGAAATCAAAAAACGAATTCGACGCGATTGTTGCGCGTCAGTTATTAAGAACGATTTGTTGTTAAGAAAATTTGAAAACGCTCAATTATGCGACACCAGGCAAATTGCGTTCGTGCGCGTTGTCGCTTTCGAGAAATTGTCGAAAATCCCGAAGAGATATTTTTCGTCGTTGTGATTTGCAACATAATAAATCGAATCGGCGTCATTAGTCACGTTGTAATTTTCTTCTTGAGTAACATAATAATTTTCAATTTTATTATATATAATCCATCGCGTGAAAAAAAAGACAATTGTCGTTTTCAGTTAAAAAAAAAAAAAAAACGATCGTAACAACAAATTGACGAAATATTGTAAAGAGCGATTTAAAACTTGTTATTAAAACTTTTAATTATGAAATAAAATATAACGCATTTAATTGTGAAAGCTTTCTCCCAAATACAATAAGCTGATACAATAAGCTTCTTCTGATAAATCGAATATTGTTAAGTTAATGAAATTGATATGATTCTCTTATATACAAATACACACGTATTCTATCGATAAGATAATTTGCGTTGATTTGTGTTTCTCGAAAGTGAAAATATTTGCAGATTCGGTGATATTTGTGCAAACTTTCTTTTTTTTTTTTTTTTTTCATAAGAATTCAAAACGGTTCTAAACAATTTTGAAACATATATTTACAAGAGAATACTTCAAAATATTATTGTAATCTAATACTGTATTCCGTGTGTTATCTCTAGCAGGATTTTCATTTCGACAGATGAAATGCCGTGTCCTCACCTTGTCCTTGGCACGAAATTCAAACGCGTGTCACAGAGTGCATTGTCGCTCTAAGAATAAATTGAAAACGTGTGTATATTTAATATACACACGTATATTAAATATTGAAGAAAAATTACAAAATTCTATCGCGCACTATTGCTTTCCCGCATTTTTTTACGATAACACACGCGCGCGCGATTAATGCGCAGCTGACATAGATAATAAAATTCTAAGAAAATTAACGGAGTTTTTTTCTTAGCTAGAAGAAAAATTATATAGAGCTCTTTATCCGCGCAATATTGAGCGCAAACTGTTCAATAAAAACATCTTGGATTATGTTCTATAAATTGTCGTATCTTTACGGCGGTAAATAAACTTTTGAAACCGCGACCACAATTTATTTCCAATAATCCCAGCACTACAATTTTTTTTTTTTTTTTGTTTTTAGATACCAAATGAGTTAACATCAAAGAAACGTGAAGCGACTCAGAGTCTCATCCTTTGCGGCATTTTTCCTCTCGTCTGAGTATTTGTCATTTGTTATAGAAAAACAAATAGTGACAACACAACAAAATCGCGATGTTGAAAACGATAGAAATAAAAAATAAAATGTCAATCACTCCACAAAATGCAAAGATTAAAAATTTGTCATAAGAATATGATCTTGATTTCGATCTTGCTTCTTGTTACGATTCGGTCGGATTAGATAACGCGATAAGTTTCGAGTGATTTCACTTCCTGAGTGTCGAGGAACGGAAATCGAGTTTCGATTATCAGGCATTAGATTGTTTGGAACAAGTTTCGGTGTCTATTTCATTTTTTCTTTTTTTTTTTTTTTTTTTTTTTTTTTTTTTATCGCGTCATCGAAAACGTTCACACATACCTCTTCGGATTATCGTGTTATGAAACATTTCTCACTCGGATCAGTTTCGTAAGATCGTTGCGCGCGTAACGTCCGATGAAACATTTGAAATTAGTAGTTTGCGCAGAACAAAAAAACCCTTGATACTTACGCAACGAGGGTTAAGGGTGCCATGAAAGGAGGGAGAGATCGCCGACTCACCGATTGGTCGATGTGCTCCCAATTTTCTCCGACATGGTTTCGGGCTTGTTCGGTCATCGTTCGCGAAAAGAGAGAAACAAAAACGAAATAAAAATTAAAAAAAAAAAAAAAACAACAACAAACGCCAACACACAAACGTCGATGGAGATCTGTGATTAACGACAGACAATCACAACTCTCTCGGGATCACTGTGAAGGCTTACATCACTTGCGCCGATGTTCGCGATCGCAAATATAGCCGAGCGTGATCTTTGAGCGTGTGCGTCTTCTTGTCGCGAACGCGATCTCATAGGTGTTTGCGCGCGTTTGTCGCACGCGCGCAGGATATTTTCGGCGAGCAACGGAGACAGAGAGATGGAATTAAAGTGTCTCTCACAAAAGAGAAACTTGCGCGAATAATGTTAAACTAGCGAAAGGGTGAACGCTCAATTAGCGCTCAAATTGTACGACAGGATTTCGATTTCTGATTGCTTTCTCCTGATCGCAAGTAATCGCCAACCGACGCGATAGACGCGAATCGCGACCAATGAGTTCGCGGAATAAAGAGCTAACGAATCCACGTGACCACTGAGAGTGAACCACGTTTGGTTTAACGTGGGGTTCACACGTGGTTTCATCGGAAACGTTCGACGCAAAATTCGAAATACTTACGTCTGCTTACGTAATTTGAAACACGTGCCGGAGGATGGCGCCATCGATCAGCTGATCGATTTTTATCGACTCGCGACGGATCGACACATCGCCCCTCCCCCGGCGGCGCCGAATCACGTGATGTTATTGAAAAAGTCGTGAAAATTGTTTACAGATATTTTTCTTAATCAAACAGCCACACGTGCGGCAATAATCTTCTTCGTTGTTGCCGAGTTTCAGTATGTAAATAGGGATGATGTATATTTTTCTTGATTTTCACACACACATACACAAGGTGCGATTCTTCTTTTCGCGAAAAATATTTTATTAATTTCATCTCCTCCCCCTCGAAACACATAACTCGTTTTATTAGCATTTGTTAAGTACTTGTTCCGAAGTTCGAGAACAGCTTGTTTGTTTAAAACTGCGTATACATTTGTTGCAAATTCTTGTATTTTTATCCGCATGTTTCTTCCACGTATAAGAGAATGTATAAAACCAAAATTAGTAAATAAAATTAATACATATAATGCACATATTATATAATAGATGCATAAGTAATTTGTATTAATATTATAATAATTACACACAATTAATTCATATTATGTCAATACGTATTGAGCGCGAGTTCTCCCATTCTCTGCCAGATCCGTTATTTCATCACTTGTAATCTCTGAACAGTCACATTAGTCATTTCAAATTCTATAACGAGTTTTTGTTCTTGTTGTTCACGCTGTGTATCTCCGAAACATGAATCACGGCCAATATAAGCGACTTTTGAACTCAGCATATCGAAGATATGAAAGTTGTTGACGGATCTTAGATGACTGTATTATGTCTATCTATTGACCGACTGTATTATGACTGTATTATGTCTATCTTTCCGGAAATCCCAAATAATTACGCAGTAGCCGTCGGGGAATTTTTTTTTGTTACACATAATATATTTTATATCGTGACGCATAAAAATTCTGTTGTCTCGTGGAGAACTTTCATCTTTCACTTTTTAGCTTGCAAGTTTCCAATAATTTTGATTCTCCCTAGAATTTGTTTTTTTTTTAATTCTTTCTATTTGAAAATGTACGATTCGACAGGTTTCTGACAGACTGAGCGTTGCCGCGACCACGCTTACACAAAGTCAGGATGGCCGAGCGGTCTAAGGCGCTGCGTTCAGGTCGCAGTCCACTTCTGTGGGCGTGGGTTCGAATCCCACTTCTGACAATTTTTTTTGTCTCTTGTAAAATTACGAATATACGCGTGGGTTGGGATTTACTTAGTTATTTTATTATTGCCGGTATTTATACTCGCGATGTCACATTGTGGGTGCGGGAAAAAAGTAAAATGAAAAACTAAATAAAATTTAAGAGAAAGAATAATTTATAAAATATGTAAAAATTTTATATTTATACCGCAATAGAATATTGTAAGTCTATTATTTTTAAATAATACTAGATAAAATTGAGAAATTATTTTTAGATCATCCGAATGTGTGCATGAGTGTTTCGCATAAATTCGTCCTCTAATCGTTTGCCGACGTTTCAACAACGTTGCACACATTCTCTGAAAACTGGCGCGTGCGCGACCAACGTCAAAAACGTCGGAACGTTCCCGTGAAGAGCCGTGAGAGTGAGAGATAGTGAGACAGGCGGTGGATCATCGTCAACATGGCGGACGGCGACTTGCTCGTCACAATTTCAGGTGCTGCGCTTTCGCTGCTATTTTTCGAAAATGTGCGCAGCGTCGGCGACCAGGTAAAAAAACCTCTACTTACGTAATTTCGCACGTCAACGCGCTGCGATTTTATCCAAGCGGAAAGAGCTCTCGTCTCTGTTAATCGAATCTGCGTTTACTCGTGTCATAACCTTTTGGACTAACCTCGGCGAAAGTTAACGTTTCGTGATATTTGTAGGTCGGTTTTCTGCTTGGAGAAGTTGTCGAGTTCTTCGTCAAGACCTACACCGATTCCGACAATCAAGTGGAAACTGTCAAAATTCACATAAGTGAGTGTATTTGTCTTGATATTTTACACATTCACATGTAAACAATGAAAGAAGTTTCGAGTATATGAAAGAATCGGGATCTATTTTCAACGCAGAAATGGTATAAACAATAAACCGCAATGTAAACACGTGTGTGTGTTTAATGCAATTTCAGATGTGGAGACTATAATGACGTGTCCTCTGTTCGATCTTGTGCACGATTCAACCAGTTGTCGGATCAACAAGGAGAAGGTCAAAAATTTTGTGCGCGACAAGAGCAAGCAGATTATCGGTTGGTTTCATTTCCGCAGAAACTCAAGCAGTCTAATTCCTACATTGAAGGACAGATTATTCCACAAGCAGCTCGCGTCCCATTTTTCTAGCGAGAATGACTGCAATGAGGATTTCTTTCTCACTTGTCTTCTTAACGCCTCCATATCCGAAACGGGTGGTACTCACAAGTTCCGGCATGTGTTTCTCAGGCGCAAACAAAAAGCGTTTGAACCGGTGCCTTTGCGGATAAACAATTTGGGTGACGACGCTTCCAGACACGATGGTTCAGATTATAAACCAACGCCTTACAGAAAGTCCGCTCATGTGAGAGACAGTTTCACCGAACTGATAAAATCACTGAGGTGAGTAGACACTTATCAAGTTAATAAATGGTATTGAACGCACATTGGTTTGGCAGTGTTACATATGATTTTTTTTCTGTAAACTAAAACTGTGAGACCATGTGTAAATTACTTTTTCTTATAGAAGATGTTTATTTTTGATACTTTGATATTCTATTTTTGAGTTATTGATGCATCATCAATTAGTCGGATATACGTTCTTCAGTTTAGATGTGACAAGAACAGGTGGAGTGGATTCTGCTATGGCTATTCAAAGAGCCGCTCAGGAGCACTTGACGTCGTTAATTCCGAAAGTGTGTGAATCTGATATGCAGGTGGCCGAGCTAGAACGACAAGTTCGCGAGTTAAAAGCCAAGGTTCAAGAACAACAATTAACAAAGAGGCCGAGAATCAATGGCGAAACATGCGAAAGAATCGCGAAGGTAAGTGAGCAAAATTTAGTTTTTAAAAAGAATGCTACTTGTATTTTCAGAGAGGAAGCATATATTCTCTTAAATTCATGTTTTGGAAAAAATCTTTTGGTTTAGAAGTGTAAATAGATTGAACACGTATCTAATTATTTGAAACGTATTAGGTGCAGCCGAGCAATCAAAACCCGTGCCGCAATACCGCCGCCTGCATCGCTAAGAGCGTCAAGGAGAAGTCGGGCCGAATAGGCCGCGGCAGTCTACTGGAGATTGCAAACCAGCAACAAGATGCGCGCGACAATTCACCTAATAGCAGACGTACCGTTCCGGAAATCACAACCGAGCCTATCTGCTGCGAAGTGGGCGTAGGGAGAGGCAGGGGCAGCGGAAGGAGTAATCGCGAATTTAATCCGGGAATGAAGAAAGTTCGACAAATTCCGATCACAGTACAGACGCATTCCTCTCGCGAAACTACCCCAGAACTTCAGGATTTCTCCGACGCAGACTGCTCCGCTGTCTCATCCCTCTCCCCTTCCGTTATAAGGTAAAGAGACTAGAGATAACAAAGGAAACAAAATGTAGGAAGAAGCAAAAAGATCGTTACAAAATGTCTTTCTTCTTCCCTTCACTTTGTCTCTGATCTCTCTCTTTCCTTTCTTTTTTATCCTTGAAAACTCAGTCATTAAATATATTATTTAAAAAATATCAGAAAATTCAATACAAATATTTTATTTTATTTTTGTTTTTCGAAACGAATACACCAAATAAAAGATTTTTATATAACAAATAAAATATTTTTGTAGAACAAATTGTAATTAAAGATGTTTGTTTTTACTGTACCTCAGGTCCCGTAGCCAGGTAACAAAGAAAACACATACGGAGAAATGCAACACAGTGACGTCGTTAGATATTTGAGCGGAGAAATCAAACAGTGGAAAAATTTGTGCTTTGTCCTATAAAATTTCAAAAACAAAAATGGCAAATGGAAAGAAGGGAGGAAGAAAAGATAGAGGTATTTGCCAGTATTATATAAGAGTAAGATGTTGTAAAGAGAGAATTAAGAGGAGGAGGTATCACCAGAAAGAAAACTTCGAAAAGAAAATGTTGTTTTTAAAGAAATTCAAAAATAATGCTAATCTTCGACAAATGCTTATTTTAATTTGGCAATTAAAAGCAAGAATTAGGAGAGAAGTGGCAGTTAGAATGTTTTGTTGTAATTATTCTATTGCAGGTGCCTTAAATTCTGCAAAAATACTGATAAGACATCTTTAAGGATTCGAGAAATTTAAGGTTTTGTATCTTATTCCAAGTTATTTATAGTGTTTATTGTGTGCCATTAAGTTACTCTGTATAACATGTTTTGCTATAAAATTAAAATAACATAGAAGCTCTTACATTAGTTTATATGCATTGATGAATAAGTGGAACTCTGTAAATAAAGAATACAAGAGAGAAAGAGAGAGAGAGAAAGAGAGAAATGACGTTTTATATTCAATAGAAATAAATAATATATATATAAATAAAACAATAATAACAATCTATGGAATGACTTAACAAAACTATAACATAGACGAAAAGAGAGTGTCTGGTTAGAAAAACTGTAAAATAACAACAAATTTTCGAACAAGTAAAGCTCTTCTCTGTTAACTTTTAAGTTTTTTTTTTTTTTCTATATAAATTTGTTTGGAGTTTGATATGACGACGATGAAGTTCGATTGTATCCTGGCGATATATTCATTTTTGATAATTTTGAGAAAGCAGGTTTATATATCACAGCCTAAAAATTATACAAAACAGACATAACAAATGACTCGCTCTGATTAACAGAAAAAGAATTCAAAACTTTAAATATATATCACAGTTTTAAATGTAAAACAATATTCGTAAGTTCAAAATAAAACAAAAAACACAAAAATATAAAACTAATAGCGATCAAAGAAACACATTACGCAATAATCCAGAATCCTTCAAAATTTTAACCTGCGTTAATTTGCTCGAGAAAATTTTTTTTAGAATATATCCGCGAGATTATTTGGCACTCCAGTAACCTCCCAGATGGTAGCTGCCAATCGCCGAGAGTGTTCCAAAACGCAAGTCGACGTGGTCAGTCCCAAATGAACGCAGTAGAGCTCGTAGATTCGTACTTTGTTGGGCGAGACTTTGGGGAAACACGTCTCGGTTAGTTTTCTGCAAAAATTAAGAGAACAAGTTAAAAATTTCATTAAAAAACACAGTTGAAAGACGCATAAAAAGACGCGATACAAAAATTACCTGTAATAGTCTCCGCAGAGTATGCCTGGTACCGGAAAATTTTTCATCACATAATTAAGATAGACTTTACATTTCGGTGGTGAGTAACCCTGAAAATACACAAATGACAAAGTAAATTTATAGAATGTACGCATATGCACGATATTTTTTTTTTAATTGAAGTGCATACGTACGGAAATGTCTTCGAACCACAAGAAGTAAGAATAATTGAACGTGGTGTCCTTCCACATGACCGACAAATGGCCTTCCTGCAGATGTATTCGACTTTGCTCGACCATGTTCCAAATCTTAAGAGACAGAAAGAAAACTAATAAAGTCGTTGAAACTATTTGTGAAAATAGATTTTTACGATTCTTTTTCGTGCAGAAAATGCAATCGATACATTTTTTTTTTTTTTGGTATTTTGATTTAGTGTTTGGTGCTAAGTTTAACGGAAAACTAACTTTTTTCATCGTAAGAGTAAGCGTTTCGGTGCTCGTAAAGTCTAGCGTGGGCGCCACGAGTCTGTGAGTCGTTCTGTCGATGTAGATGAAATGTACCAGACCTGGAAACTCTTCGAGATACTTGTTGATAGTTAGGGAACTTCTCGTAAAAGATTAACATTAAGGAGACAATATGGAGCGAAATGCATTCCATAAAAAAAAAAGAACTTTCAATTCGACATTTTCTGGAAAATCGCAAGCATCGTGAACAAACAAAAAGAGTAAAATATAATGTATTCAAAATATCGATATAGAAAAGAAACGAGTTCGTGCACTTCCAGCTGTTTATTATTATTTTTTTTAAATAAAAGGATATGATCCTAGCGTGAAGTTCTTCATTGCTTTGACCTTCAGAAAGTCACTGAAGTCGCTCAGCTTTTGCCGAACGAGCCTGCCGACCGTGGTGAGAACGTCGGTTCCTTGCTTCAAAAAATTCCGATCGAAACAAGTCAGACGTAGTAGTTCTTTCAAGGTTTCCACAAAGCCGGAAGTATTGGCTTCGATCTGCACGACCACTTCGGGATCTCGAGAGCGTAGAAGGTCGTTGTACTTTTTTCGAACGAAGTCCCATTTTATTTGCAATCTCTTTTGACACATATCGACATCGTTGCCAACGTTAGAACGATTCTTCTTAATTCCTTCCAACACCTTCTTGATCGACGCGTCGAGGTTTTCGAAGATTGGCTTCAATTCGTCAACATCCCTTTGAAACTGCAGGTTGTTCATCAGATTTAAATAATAGAAACTGTCGCACAATCCTGAGGAAGTGGAAAGATTTGTAGCTTCGACTATTGTTATTAGATTGATGGAATCCGATAGCTCGAAGATGTGAACCGCATTGGCCGTATAATTGTGCTGAGAGCCAAGAAGCAACAATTGACTGTAGAGATCGTCATCAGTTAAGGATGAAAGTCCCTCAGTCACCGAAGGATCTCTCGAACCTAGAAAAAGATGAGGATTTTTATATAATCTCGTCGAAATTATTGAAAAAAAAATTTCCTTATTCTTTACTCATTGCTAAAATTCTTTATTATAAGAAATACGCTAAAAAAAACCTACTAAAAAGATTCGTAATGTCTTCGGAAGTAGGAGTGGCCAGTCTAGCTCCGAAACTTAGTCTCATTTCGTCGTTTTTTACAGAACCGCTTTCCGGTAACAAGATATCGCTGTCGTTATTGTCGTCGTTACTCTCGAATCGATTGTGCCTCCGCTTTTTATTTACCGTCCAACAAAGTAGGATCATCAATAAGATGTCGGATGCGCACAAGTCGTGAGCGTTTTTGCTGGAGTACAGTGACAAAAACTTGGATCCAACCAGAAGCAACATGTGTGAGTTGTTGAATTCGGGTTGCGAACTTTTCAACTTGTCGCATGCGTCGTGCAGTACTTTGAGGACCGAAGAAGATACTTCTGAATTCACTGACAACTGTTCCACCGCTTCTGTCAGCATACTCTGCTCGCTGTTTCTCAAGTCACACCACGCATCCAGCAAAGAGGACACCAGACCCACTTTCTGCCAGTTGGTTTTCAATCTGCAATCAGAAATTAAAGTGGCGGATTAGCCGCTTACATTCGAATTAAAAATTATTTTGCACACACGTACATTTGTTATTTATTTCATTCTTCATCTATATTTTATTCTTAGATCTGTATTGTACTTTTACATCTACTGTATATCAGTTACATACATCGCAACATCCGGACCACACACGTGGCGCACAATCGACACGCATATTCCAAGCGTACGTCTCATAAGTTCCACCTCTTTTGTAGCCAAATATATAAATGTGTAACCAATGTATTCATCAAAGACCATGTTTGTTCCATCTTGAAACTTCATCGATGTATAGGAGTTCCCAAACTGAGAAGCCATCACATGCTGTGAGGTAACGATGGGTGAAAACAACTGCATTATGATGTTAGGACTCAGTAAAGACGTTTCCAAGTCTGTGACATCCTATAGAAAAACAAATAAAAAAAAAACTATATTTAATTGTTCGAGAAGCGGTAATGTATTGTATTTCAATTATATATTATTGAAATTTACCTTGTTATCCTGACTGTTGAGCAAACCTTGCGTTCTCGCGAGCTTCACGATGTGACTCGCGAATTTCTTATTACACTTTGCGAACAACACATCGTTCAGATGATCAAATATCAGTACAGCCCTCATTCCGTTTACAATTTCGAAGTTTTACTTGTCTATTCTCAGCACACAATTTATATTTGAACGTTTAATGTTTAAAAAAAAACTGTCATTTACACGTAGAAGGCGTTCCACAATCAATCATGCGCACATTGTAATGTTATTTATTGCCGCTTTGTTTATTTCGCTCGAACAACAACGGTAATCTTATTTGACTTGAGATTTTCACGCGAATTTCGACATGCTTTTGGAATTTGTTTTTCAATTGTATACCCACTGTTTGTTTTTTTTCCCTTGTAATAGTTTTAAGTTACAGATTTTTTTTTTCTCTCTCTCTCTCTCGAACAAACAAGTACAAAACTTCTTTTCTTTCTTCTTACGGCTCGCTAGAATCATATACACAATAGCATAACGCACTTGTCTCTCTGTCGGCACTCGGCACTTTTGATGCCAGCTGTCAAAGCTGCGAGGTGTCCAAAAAGGTCCGCACACTTTCGTGTCAGCTGTGTCTGATAAGATCTATAGTTCATAGATGACACCTCCGGCAATACCTGGCGCTACCTGTATGACTTTTCATCACCTTTATTTTCTTCCCGCGAACAAGTTTTGAGGTTAGACGACGACGACGACGACGACGACGAAAAGCAGTCGACACGTGTTGCCTGAGACTTGTAGAATCTATTTTAAGTAACTTTTATTTAATCTATATGTTTTGATTTGGTAGATTGGACGAACGCGTCACGAGAGACACGAGGAGCCACAAAACGTGTCACCACAGTCAAGCAGCAGACGACACGGATGAATCATAGTAAACCGATTCACAAAGCTTACATAACTCACGTACATATACATATACGTATGTACACGCAAAACACGTGTTTCTCTTCACTGGTTGCATTATCCATGCGCGTAATAATTTTGCATGTGCGCGAAGAGAGCCGAAACATAAGGAAAATATCATGAATATATTGTAGAGCATTATCGTGTATTTTGACTGCCAACCCGCTGTTACCTATCGATTGCCATGATAGCGCAAAGTTTTCCGTGCGTCGGAAAAATCTCGTCGTCGTGACACGAGGTAGGATGCCGTTCGTTCGCGGAGAGAGCTCATTATCAACGCTAACTCCTGGGTGTTCTTCAATTATTAACGCAAATCTGCGGAAACTTTTTTTATTTTTATCTTTGTTCAATATTCAGTGAGAAATAAAGACGGAGTGACTTTTGTGTCGTTAATTGGGAAACATCATCCGTTTGAGAGACGGCGTTAGAAAATGCAAACTCTATAAACAGCAAATAGCGTTAGCGTTAAGCGTTTTCTAATCACAGCAACCGATTTCTAACCAATAAACAATAAAACATTGTTTTGTGTTTGTAACCGCATCGATTGGACCTTTAACGTCGACTTTTTTTGCGACCCCGCGGTGTACAGTTGCATTTTTATATATGATCCGCATTTTTCATACAAACTCGCAAACGCTAACGCTCTACCCTTGAAAGCGACAGCGTCGATAGCGCGAATCTGTAATGTAAAATACTACCCATCAGTTACGTCATGATGTAGTGTTGATAGCTAGCTCCCCGAACAACTTTGAATAGAAACGATTGCGAGTTCCTTGAACGCGATCGTTTGATTAGATACCGCTAACTTTTTCTCCCATCAGCTCGATGACGTTTCTCAAAACTTCGACATTCGTAACTGCCGCGGGAGAGCATTGCGTGAAGCAGAAATGTTTCACGAACAAGAGGGATCTGACAACAATCTCTCAAAGAGAGACGTTCTATTCACGTCCTTTGTCGTAAGTGTCACTATTTGTTTTATATATATATATATAATGACTTTTGTTATTTTTTTTCCAACTCGATGCTTCCCCTTCTATACCGACAATGAGATAAAAATTAAATAGTTTTTTTTATAAAGAGGAATTTAATTTTTATAAATTAAAGCGAATTTTTATATATTTCGTATATTACTTTTGCAGTGTTTTTGAAGCATTAAAAAAAATCATCTTACGTAACATTCTTAATTTACATGCGGCATTTTATATCTGATGCAACACACACACACACACACACAAGTCAATTATATTAAACAATAATATTAATGTTTGATGTCAGTCAGGTGCTCTTGCAGGAATTATTTGTGACGTGACACTGTTCCCGTTGGACACTCTTAAAACACGTTTGCAAAGCCAGCATGGATTCTTTCAATCTGGCGGTTTCAAGAAACTGTACAAAGGCATAGGACCTGTGATATTGGGTTCTGCTCCGTCAGGTATGTAATAATATTTATACATCAATACACAAGATATAAAGAAAATAAAAGATAGAGAAAAGATATTGTAGAGAAAATGCGCTTTGTAACCTTGATATTAATTAATATACACACTGTGTGTTACACTACAGCTGCTATATTTTTTATTACTTATGAGGGCATAAAACAGTATACACAGCCGTGTATACCGGAACAGTATCACTCAATTATACACATGGTTGCGGCATCATCTTCCGAAGTGGTGAGCAATTACAGTTTTGTTTTCACTGTCACATGATATGATGCGTAATCTCATTGTGTGATAATTTTGTTTTTTTTTTTTCTACACGTTAGTATGTACGACAGATATGTTTGTAAGTTTTGTAACATCAAAACGTATGTTGTATGACATTTGTATCGAAATCTTGTGCGACTTTTATATACAGACAGCCTGCTTGGTTCGGGTACCTGTGGAGGTGATTAAACAAAGAAAACAAGCTCTTCTATCCGATACAAATCACTTAGGTTTAAGAACATTATATCGCGGTTACGGAAGTACCGTACTTCGAGACTTGCCGTTTGGACTGATTCAAATGCCGTTGTGGGAATATTTCAAGCTCTACTGGACTCGACGAAGCCAACGTGATTGCACACCAATGGAAGGTGCTATTTGCGGAGCCGCGTCAGGTAGAATATTTATGTTATATAACTTTGCGAATTTGTGCGTTAAGATAACTTTCCTTAAATATTTTACGAATAAAAAAAAGTTATAATGACGTAATTAAAATATTCATCTTTTGTCTCAGTTGCTATATCGGCTGCCTTAACAACACCACTGGACGTTGCAAAGACGAGAATTATGTTATCCAGCACGTCCGCTGAAAAAGAAGAAGTTAAAATATCGACAATGTTGAAGGAGGTTTACAAATGTAACGGCGTAAAAGGGTGAGAAAAGAAAATTTTATATAATTCTTATACACACATATAGGTATGCGTAGTCTACCAGAACTGCACGCAATACTTTCAGATTGTTCGCTGGCTTTGTTCCGAGAGTAACCGGATTTACCATTGGTGGATTTATATTCTTTGGCGTTTACGAGCAAGCCAGAGAACTTTGTATATCTTACTTCTCACAAAGATTCGCCGACATATAGGTCAATAATTTCTAAATAATTAAAAAATAATTACGAAAGCTTTTAAGCACATTTTGCGGATATCTCTTGAGCTCTGTCCTACTTCAACGTGATATTTGCTGGGATTGGTTTCAGAAGGTAATTTGTAAATTAATAGAATTTATTAAAATAAAAAATTTTATTTGTTGCTAATACTTTAGTATTACAAGATATTAAAGCTTAAAAGATCACATTTATCAGTTTTCAGGCTGTCCTTTTTCGTCTTCTCCCCAAAAAAAACTTTTTGGGAAACGTAAGTTCCTGGTATTATTAAATACATACAGAAAACACTGCGTTAAGAATCAACGTAGGAAACTTTTGTGTTTTTTTCTTTTTTGAAAAAGAAACTTCGTGTCACGATACACAATATTCAAGGGCGCACCAGCAACGAATCTTATCTATGGTCACAGTTGCGATAATACAAATGTGATTACAATCTCAATTACTTTGCACAAAAGATCAGCTTTAACCTTATATATATATACATATATATATATATATGTATATATTTATATACATATATATATATAACGATCAACAACGATCTTTAAGAATATCTCTCAATTCCATATCAAGTGCAGTGTTTCACTCAAGATCTTACATGTGCATTTTCTATGATCTTACATGTTGCATTTTCTAACTTTATAGAAGTTTACGATTTATCGAAAAGATCTCTACAATTCAAATTTTGCCAATTTAGATTATTCTGTATTATTACGTAGCGTTGGAAATACAAAATAAGATTATAAGAATATAAAATGTCACTGAGCAAAACTTGTATCACAAACATTGGTTCTTGAATTGTACATTAAAAAGATTCCTCATTACGCAGGTCGCTCGAATAATCTCAGATAAATTACTTTGATCACAAAAAGGCTTAAAAGAGAATAGAACGAGTATTAATACTAATTTTATTTAAATCTATGCACAACAATACCTTCTTTCGGATTTTCTCGTTAGAACTATTTCATTTTCTTTTACTTGTTGCAAGTTTTCGGGATTGGACGCGAAATCCTTTACGATTTCGTTAAACAACTCGACTGTAAAGAAAATGAAAATTTTGAATAAACGCACACATTTTATAACTGATACCCAATTGCATTTGTCACAAGTGTTTTTTGGTAAAAATATCTAGTACATATTTCCTACCTACCTACGTTTTCTCCCGTTTTACTAGACGTTACAAAAAGTTTGGTCTGTGTACCGTTCGCGTATCTTTCTACGGTATTTTGTAAATCCGGATCGTCCAACGGAAGACCCGAGTCGTACAAATCTTTTTTCGTGGCGCAAAGGTACACTTTGCAATTTTCCTCGACGCTTCTGAGTTCTCTAACCCAGTGTTTCGCCCGTTGAAACGTGCTCGATCTAGTGATGTCGTAGCACACTATGGCAGCCCTTGCGCCTCGATAATACGTTCTGGTCATGGCATCGTATCTGATAATATTATTAAATAAATATTATAAAAATTTTAAGATAATATTAAGAAATATTTAAGAAAATTATGTTCCTCTTGACGACATGGTGTGTAACAGTATACACAGTATTAACTGTTCAGATATCCGAGCGACTGATAACACAAAAAATGTAATAAGAGAAATATCAACTTACTTCTCGCTACCCGCAGTATCCCATATTCCCATAACAAGCGACACATCATCCAACTGTATTCGCTTCGCTGCAAACACAGTGCCTATTGTCTGCGATATAATTTCAACAGTATTAATTCGCATATGATGCCCTCCCTCCCATCTAGAGTTTTTACAACGCAAATTTTCATAATATTTATTACTTTACAATATTTCCTTCCACAATGTTGCGGACTATGAGAAACAAGACGTGCCGTGTTAGTGCTTTTGTAAATTGTTTAGGACTGTTCTTCTCCGCATTTCTTTTTTTTTTTTTTTTGAATTCTGATTGCATATTGATACAACGCAAGTAAAAAAATATTGTTACTGTCAAACATTTGTAACTTATATTGTTTATTGTAGATAAGCTACTAGAGAATAGCAAGTACCAGTAATTGGAACTACAAGAAAAACGCTCAAAAATAAAGTGTTGCTTTTCTTGTGATGCACACACACATTCTTCTATCTTGATGCTTGTTTATTTCATTACAAGAAAATTTAAACGAGTTTCAGCCAAGAAGAACAGTTCTGTGATCAGGAAGGAGTTTAAGGATTTCAAGAAAAACTATTACGTCATTTCTTTGTTTCAACAAATTGTCGTATCGACTCAACGATGCTGATGAATTTGATAATGCTTCAAATAAAACCACTTACGTTTTGATAAGGTCGACTGTCATTGAACGTGTCATGTATGTATCGCTCCATAAGACTTGTTTTTCCCACTGTCGCATTGCCCAATAATACAACTTTCAAATCTACGCGACTCATGTTGTCTGTATCAGAATGTCACTGACTATCGATGATAGCTTTGTTCTAGCGTCTAGCGTATCATATGGGCAAAGTGGCCGTGCAAAGGTTATACGAACATACACACTCCTCTCCACCGCCCACCAACAGTCGCCATGTTGTTTCTTTCGCTAATGATGCGATAACATCGCACACATGCTGGGATACGTTCCAAAATCTTATCTTGGTAACCGAAAACTATAGTACAAGTGATGTAAAATATAGCATTTTAGTAACCAAGGTAAGATTTTGGAACGTAGCTCTGAAGAAACGATTATACAAAATAAATGCTTCAACCGCGATTGGTCATCTTGAATAATCAATCGATGCGATTGGTCAGTTCTGTTGAGTTAAAATGTAAATATTCAACGACCGATTGCAGATGTGAATGATGTCCTTGCACTGAGGTCAATGACCTTTCGTCAAAGTTCATTGACCTCTCGTCAAAGGTTACTGACCTCTCGTCAAAGGTCAATGACCTCTCGTCAAAGTTCATTGACCTCTCGTCAAAGGTCAATGACCTCTCGCCAAAGGTCAATGACCTTTCGTCAAAGGTCATTACGTCACGTCAGACACGTGACTATACAAAGTGACTTCGTTGAGCGTGAACTGGGAGCGAGGCACTACCTCTTGATTGACATGTAAGAAAGTCGTTCCTTGTTCTTGGACTAAGAGTCTGCGAAAACCGTTAACAATTTTTCCATTCCACACGCGTCGTTGCGTACAATCGAAAGTGCATCCGTAGTAAAATAACTTATGCACGTCGTTTTACACATATCCTTTTTTAAAACGTGTACGAAAATAACAACGTGAGGAATTATTTGAAATAAATATCGTTTATTTTCTTAATTATTAATGTACAACTACGTGAATTTTTACATACTCATCGTATTTGTAGACTCGTAAACATCTTTTTGTTCTTACAAGAAATGTTTCTTCAATCTGGAACATATCTATTGCTCTTTATTGAGCTACGTTATGATGACGCAATTAGTGGGTTGCAATTTTTAACAATTATGCAGATCAACGCATAAATTTCTCATTTTATAATAAATTTCTTTATTTGGCCTTTCCTTGCGCGGCAACCGCGGCCATCGCTGCTTTAACGGTCTCTTCGTCACCCAGGAATTTCATAGAAACCACAGGTTTGAAGTTCTCATCCAGTTCGTACACAAACGGAATGCCAGTCGGCAGGTTCAACCCCATAATCTGATCGTTAGTCAGTTCTATTTAAACAAAATATCATCAAACAAAAATTAGTATGGTTATATAATTAAATAAATACGTAAACTGATGAAAAATGGAATTCCTTACGATCCAAATGCTTCACTATGCCACGTAAGCTGTTTCCATGGGCAGCTATAATGATTCTCTTTCCTTCCTTTAATTGGGGAATAATCGTCTCGTTCCAATAAGGCAACGTTCTCTCGATGGTCAACTTGAGAGACTCAAATTTCGGAAACTCGTCAGGTTTTGGTCCATCAGCGTAACGCGGATCCTTCACTATCGTTTCGTAATACTTGTGATCCGGTTCCATTGGAGGTGGTGGCACGTCAAACGATCTACGCCAGATCTGCACTTGCTCTTCACCGTATTTGGCAGCAGTCTCCGCCTTATTCATGCCAGTAAGACCACCATAGTGTCGTTCGTTCAGTCGCCATGTTTTCTGAACAGGTAGATCTTCCTGGCCGATCTCCTTTAGAATTGCTTTCAGGGTTTCTTGTGCTCTCGTTAGAACTGACGTATGAGCCACATCAAACGTGTAACCTGCATCCTTCAGAGCTTTCCCTGCCGACACAGCTTCATTTTTGCCTGCAAGAGATTTTGTATTGTACAGACAGCAGCATCTTTGATGTACAAAGTATCGTTTATTAAGAGGTGTGTCCTGCATTGTGTTTTATAAAGAAAGACACACTCTGCGAGCAGAATGAGATTATCTAAAAGATCAAATAAAACATGTAGAACGTGAGATTTTTTTACAAACAACTTTGTTTTTACAGAGAAACTTGATGTGAACGAATGAACGCAATCACATCTTATGTTTTCGAAAGAAAATTTTTGATTTTTTCTTGTTTTTGCATTTTAATTGTTTTGCGCCATTTAATCTTTTCGTCCGATGTAATTTAATACTTTTAAAAACATTGACGGGTTCTGTTACGTCACAATATCATTCATTCAAATTAAAAAACTCAGAGAGAGAGGTCGTGCGACCTTTTGTCCTTGAAAAGCGACGAATTCGATACGTAACCCCGGATGATATTTACGCACCCTTGTCCGACAGATTGGCGTCGTACCATCCGCAGAAAAGATTCAACTTATTCCATTCGCTTTCGCCGTGGCGAACCATAACTATCCTGTATTTCGACATGTTTCCTGTAAAATCGCACGAAGAACGCCGGAGTAAACGACAGACAAATTTGCGAGCAATTTCGCGGATCGTGTGAACAAATCGATGCGGTTACAGCACAAATAATTTAGAGGGCGTTGCGAACACTAGGAACGAAAAATACAGGGAATTACAAAGTTTCTGGTTACTGACACTGCCGATTACTAAACGTTGCGTGAGGTTGAAAGAGCTCTTTTGTGGAGACACTCGAGCTGACGTGAGCTGACGTACGGGTTTATATGATCGGAGCGATCCGCGAAAGCAAAGAACTATTTAAAAAAAAACATCAAAAAATCGCGAGATCTCGAACGAGTTTTTAGTTCTCACAAAAAAGATGATCATTTGTATTCGCGCTTGATCATTCGACATATCACAATTTATAATTATGGAGATAATAACCGCCAACGATAATACCAGTAAATCGCACACTTTGTTGTCTCCTGAATTCTGCAAGAATTCCTTGCTGATTTCTTGCAATTGGCAAATTGTCAATAACAAGCAATTTTGCGACGCCGTCACCACTGTGCCGTTGCAGGACGCGCCCGCAAGGTAATAGCAAATAAATGAAAACATTGGATTGTATATGCGCACTTCATTAAGTTTTGAAATAATTAACACAACACAGTGAGAAATAATGTCATTATATGTGTTACAGCATTAATTATGAAGACGTAGTTTCTATTGAGACGTGTATCGCTCTGCAACCGGTATCTCCTACGATAAATTCTTGCACAGAACCGTGCATGCTAGAAATCAAGATGACAAACTGTCAAAAGATAGCACGTGTTGCTGTTGTTTCGGAGGGCGAGGTTCTTGAAATTTTTAAACAATTTGGAGAATACGAAACAACGGTGTTTGCAGAATTTATAGACGAGTGTTTAGAAAATACCGTTTTTTTTGGAGACACAACAATGCAACCTCCCACTGCTGAAGTTAGTATTAAGGTGAGAGGAAAACTTTACCTTCTCGATATTACAAAGATATTACACATTTTACAGCTTTTTGTTTTTTTAGTAATGTTTATATATAAAACTATGTAATAATAATAATATAATAACACACTTTATGTAAGTATAATTTACTTTTTCACCACAGTTTACCAGAATAAAAAGTAAAGGCCCTATGTGGATTTATGGCATAAGACTGTTTTTGACTGATTCTGTCAAAGAGGCAAAACCGAGTGCCTTCAATTATGAGATTATTCAGACTTTTCTTAGCAATAACAATGACAAGCCGAGCAAAGGAGCCGAAATGGCAAAGAAGGTATTTAATTATTACAACAAACAAGAAATTACGAATCAAGAGTGTTTCAAGCTGGAAGATTTGGAAACCTTTGCTACTAACTACCTCAAATGTAAAAATAGAATTGGAAAAACAGATAACGAGAAGGAAAATCGAAATCGTGCCGAGGATAGTGAAAAATCAAATTCCCTCGAATGCGAAAATGAGACTGCAAGAAGAGACGGTAACGAAAAAGAGCGTCCGAACTGCGGAGAGAATAGTAAAAATTTGGATACAGACATCAGAATCTATATTGACAATAAATTCCATGACATGGAAATGAGATTGATGAGACGAATAGATGAAATAGAATCGAATACCAATCAGAAATTAAATGCCATTTTGGAAAGACTTAAAGCGTTAAATTTCAAATAAATATTTCTATTAAATTGTTGATAGATCTGAAACAAAACAAATATAATTGTATAACAAAAATTAGTAACAAACGTAGAGTGTTTTGTATATATGTAAAAAATATATCGAATAATTTAGTAAATTATAAAAAAAAAAAAAAAAAAAAAAAAACGATATTTTTTTTGTATCATACATATGTACGCAACTGTTTTTTTGTTTATTTTAATGTAAATTAATTATACATGACATTTGTATCGCAACAAGTCACAGTTATAGAGGTCTTTCTTCAATATCTTTACTTATTCTTCGTAGATGTTTTATCTCGGATGCAGCGCTGAAGGCTGCATCAATTTTAATCCGCGTAACAAGATTTTTATAAATGCGTTTCTAGATTGTTATATTACAGTTAGATTATTTGTATATTAGTTTCACATCAGGCAATTCCAAAAACTTGTACATTAACTTTCAGAAGATTACCATTAACAGCGTATACCGATTAGGGACGTGTTGCATCATCCTATCTACCGCTACGAAAGTCAAAATTGATCCAGCCTTAGCGTTTTCCGAAGACTTTCAAGTCTGTTGTGATGCGTGTGTACTTATTCTGCTGTTTTCGAATTTTGTAAAATCAAAAATCATATATAAAAAGAAAAACATTGCACCATTTCGAGTTTACCTTCAAATATTTCTACAGATACAAACGTTTTTTCTAAAAACACTCTGCGCAACTTGCACTAATCTTATGCGTAGAAAAATGAAAATCTTTAAATATTCTTCCAAAAGACTTTGATGTATGTACACTTCTCGATACATCCCCGCAAAATTGATTTATGCGAAAGTTTTCCTCAAAATTTGTTGTTTTTGATATGATTTTAAAAATCATGTGAAGAAAAAAAAAAACGTAATCATATGTACATAAATCAATTTTTTACATTCGATATACATTTGAATATAAGTTATTTTATACACACACTAACATGATAAAAAATTGCTTAGAAAAGTACAAAATAATGCACAATAGAAGGTATATAAATAAAGAAAAATTATATCTATATATTGGCAGTATGTATACTTCAACTAAAAATGACACGTAAAATAGATTCAAAAACCTAGTCGACCTTATTATTCTCCTGAGGAGGATCCCAAGAATGAAGTTGTTTTCGCCACAGTCTTACCATGCCGTCCCAACCTCTTCTGCTGTACTTTAAATGTTTCGGCGGCGTTCTCGGATGTTCTCTCGTACGTCTTTCTCTGAAAGAAAAAAATAAAAAATTCCCAAGTTTATTTTAATTACAACAAATAAAAAACTAAATTAAAGAGCCACATGAGAAGAGATATAGAAAAGCAAATAAAAAAACAAAATTTGTCTTACATAGCAATGAAATTTATATGCAAAAATCTAGATATTTTTTTCTTTTTCCATAACTAATTATTTTTTATATACAACATTTACTTTGGGACTATTTGAATGTATCTATCGTATCCAATGGTATTTTTTCCGTAATCTATTTCTTTTTGTCTTCTCGCCAACACAACCGGATCTGTTTCGTACTCTATAGGTTTTCTCCCGTTCTCTGACGAATTGGTAGTCGTGCTAGAGTCACTCGAATCACATCTCGTACGAAAGATTTTGGTTGTTTTATAATCCGCACTGTTCTGTCTTGGCCTTTTGCGCCAAACGTGCGCATTTTCCGGTTTATTCTTCACATTATCTTTGTACTCTATGTATCTAATGTTATTTGTACTTTCCACAGGATCCGGACAATGATCCGAGTCCTGCACCTTATCCGCATCTTCTACATCGTGATCCGGTGGGGTGTCGTCGCTCAGAGTGCTCCAATCCTCGTATTCCTGAACATCTTTGCGAACCTCATTTGCAGTTTCCTCAGTTTTGCACGTACCATTGCTCTCTACATTGCTCTTCTTTTTCTCGTCGCTTTCTTGCGACTCGATCGTCTTATAATTCATAGACAATATCTCGTCGAACAGCTCGTCCTCTTCGCACGAAGGATCCATTTTTCTTTATTTTTTTTCTTTTTTAAAGAATTAACCACTTTGGAATCAACAAATCGGTTGTCAATAAATTTATATATCACTCGGCTACCTGTGAAACGTCACATATATTTATATGTTTACATACGTATATACATACGTATATACATTTTGCGATATTATTTATTCTAAATTCACGCTCGAAAGAATGCGCTACAATATTTATTGCGTACGTACACGCGCGTAGAGTGTTTTTTTAACAAAGCATAACCTGAACAGATGTTCCAACGCTGTGACTTATCCTCGTGCAAAATATCAAAAAACGCCGTTCGCGGAGAAATTTTAATTTTCTTGCCTCCGTATGTCGTTGCTGTCTTACGCGCAACCGTGATTGCGAAGAGAAAATTCCTCTCTATCTCTTTTGTACAACGAAATTACGAACGCGCGTATTCGATCATTTTACAAACTGCAATCCGTATCTTCTTTCGTCAATTTGCTTGCGCGCCTTTTTGACAGTACGAAAGCCAGCGATTTGAAAAAAACAGAGACAGATACCGAGAGAGCGGTCACGGACGCAAATTGCCGTTGGTTCTCGTCCAGGTGCGCCGCGATGTCCACGTTACGTGTTCGCGAACTACACGGGATACGTTCCAAAATCCCACCTTGGTTACCAAAACGCTATATTTTGCGTCACGTGTACTATAGTTTTCGGTTACCGAGGTAAGATTTTGGAACGTACCCACGAGAATCAAACTGCTTCCACCAGGGGTACGTTCCAAAATCCTACCCTTGGTTAATAAAATGCTATATTTTACGTCACGTGTACTATAGTTTTCGGTTATCGAGGTAAGATTTTTTGGAACGTATCCAGCGCATTTCGATTATTTAAATTTGAGCGCGCGCGCGTTCGATTCGAGAATCGAAACACACTTCGATTCACACTTGAATTGGCGGGCTGAATCCATGGCTGGGTCGGGGGTCGATCGCGCGCTGTTAACGGCGAGGTTAAGTGGTGATTATTCGAAATTTCTAGCTGTTTGTACGCGCGGAATTTCACAACGCGGAGATTCGTTCCGGAATTTCGAAAATTCCGAGAGAGTAAATAATGTCGAACGCAATTGTCGTGCTGAGTGATTCCGACGAAGTTGGAAGCTCGTCCGACGACAACGAGGAAGACAAAAAATCTGAAGAAGAAGAAGAAGAAGCAAACGAGGGTGCGACGAGCGACTTCGACTTCCCGGAAGTACCGTTCTGTCGCGAAACCGTCCGCGAGATCTCGCGGAGCGAGGCGAATTTTGTCGGTGCGAACGTAAACGACGACGTCCCGTCTGGCCTCAACGACTCGGAGGATGACGACGATCGAGTCGGAAAGAGTTCGCGACGGAAGGCGACGCTCAAGAAGAAGAACGGGACGGCGATGATGGATGAACGATCGAGGCGGCGGCAAGAGAAAGATAGAGAAAAAGCGTTGAGGGCGATTGAGAAAAAGAAATCGAGAGACGTGAAACCTGGCGAGTGCATGAAGTTCATGGAGGTTGAGCTCGACTCAGGTATAGACGCGTTTGTTTTTCACAAAGACATTAAGAGCACGTTGCTAAATGCTGATGTTAAGTTTAACGTGATCGCCCAATTGATTCCGAACAGTATTACGTGGCGGAGAAACATCGAGGAGAATTACGTCGGTGATGATAACCAGGTGCGCGTGAGAAAGAGCTCGCAACCGGAGAAGCACGCGATCGTGATCTGGGACAGCTGTCAAACGGTGAGTCACGTGGCGGACGACACGTTTTGCGCGGTTGTGCGAAGCACTTGCGATCTGATACCGGATCACACCGTGACTCTGGTTATCTTCGGCACGGAGGATTATTTCGCGTATCGAAAGAAACGGAAGTCGGCGCGAAATCCCGGCGGGAAAGGATCGCGATGTAACAACAACGACGGTCGTTTTAAGACGTTGCCAGTTATATCCAGACAACAGCTCGAGTTGTGTCTGACCGAGATTCAATTGAATTTGCGTTGCAACAGCAGATCGATCGAGAACGCGCAAGATCTGGCGCTAATGGTTTATCAGTACACGAAGTCAATTTCGGAGATACCGTACAAATCGAGAAAGGAGAGTCAAGAGAACAAATTTGACTGGTACGCCACGGGTGATAACAGAAACACGGTGCGCGTGGACAGGAACGGGAACGGATTGAAGAGACTGTGGCAGCAACAGTTGTGCCAGTTCAATTTGTGCGGTTTGGAAATCGCAGAAGCGATATGCGCCGTTTATCCAAGCCCGGCGCGACTTTTCAAGGTATCGCAATTTTTTAAGTGCCGCGCGAGATACGGTTTTTCTCGTTCTCACGTTTATTAGCGTTCGGAGAGCATCTCTAGCTCTGCTTGCTCGGGAAGCGGGAAGTTGGAATAATTTGAATTGAAATTTTTCTCAGGCTTATGAAAATTGCACACCCGAAGAAGGAATGAATTTGTTAAAAGATATACCGGTAAGTCTCTCTCTTTCTCTCTCGATTTGAACCTTTTATCGCAGTTTTTTTTTTTTACGAATAAATCACTGGAAGTAGACATTTACAAATTAATTTTCAATATTATTTATTGTTTATTTAATGCCATATAAATATATATCAATTATTAGATAACTATAAATTACTTTGAAATTAAAATACTTTTGTGTGTAAACTATAGCGTATTCTTATACCGGAAGTAATAACTAACTTGTGCAGCACTTAGAGTTTTAACAAATTATCGATTTATATATATATATGCTTGACAGATTAGGAGAGCGGCAGGACCTCTCACAGCTGTGCGCAAAGTCGGTCCTGAATTAAGCAAAAAGATATACATAATGTTTACGTCGGAAAACGGAGATAATCCACTCGAATAAAAGACAAACAGTCAAGACAAGTGTGTTTACGAGATTAATCTGTAATTTTATTTATAATTTTCATACTGTAAATATTTAAAAAAATGCATTGTACGATATAATTGTAACATATTTACGGAACACATTGTTGTTTCTTGGTGTATCAACATTATTTTTTTTTACGTCTGCTCATCATTTTCAAGTTACACATTTAAGCAGCGGAAATTTTTGTACATACGGAAGATTATTGAAATGATATTAAACTGTGTTCAGTATATAACTAATAAATGATTATTCTATTTTTCACACTAGGAGGTGAACATACACATGTATCCCTCTTCCCCCCTCTTTCTCTCTCTCTCTATATCTCTCTCTTGCCTGTTTATGCAAGACGCGTACTTAAAATTCACAATGCACTAAATACAACAATTATAACAACAAAATACTATCACTATATTAAAGCTTAGAGACCAGTAGAAAATGTTATTATCAATTATATATTATGATTACGTGAGTATTAACACACACACAATCATAATACATGTAAAAAATATGTAATATATTAAATAAATTGTTTTGTAACAATTGTATTGTAGAGATACTTCAATTATGTATATAATATATAGTATATATATATATTATATGTATAATCTTTTTTTTTTTTAATATATTAATATTAATCTGTTTAATTCATTTTGCTATGTATCTTTAGTATTACTCTGAAATACTATACATGTGTATTTTCTTTTATTTTACTTTACTCGCACTGTCAAAAGCAGACTCTTCTAAACTTGCGTGTTTCTTCTCGTCCACCTTGTTCAAGACATCGCAATCATTGTCGCCAACAGCTGAAGGTGATGTTTCTTCGATTGTGGGCGCGGGCGTGTATTTGCGCTCGATAATATTCGTCTTAATAGCGTCTTCAATCTCGAGTACGTCGTCCGCGAGAGAATCGTCGTAACTACTCGACGTTTTGGAAGATTGCGTTTGCACGCATCTGTAATCGTCCTTGAAGGTCAGGATTTTCGGCGCACTCGCGTCTTCCGTGTTCTTCGTCAGTATCACTTGCTCGTTCTGCTGAGCGATCTGCGTGCTTCTCTTTGCCAAAATAATTTTCGTGTACTTCACCGGTTGCATCAGTCGATTTTCCAACGGCATTCCAATTCTGCTCTTCGCCGGGATGCTGTTGTTCTGCGACTGAGTCTGCAATATCAGTTGATTTAGATTCTGCACAGTCATATTGGGACATATAACGGCCGGTGTGGAAGTCGCTCCGATCTTGCTCGGGGTCTGTTGCAGCTTGTTGTCCTGTTTGTTACTTATCAGAACAACCTTGGTGGTGCTGTTCAACTTGGGTCTCTCCTGGGGATCCTTGATCAGCGCGGTTTGCGTCACGACCGGTATCTTGTCGATGTTATTCAAATTGTCATCGTCTTTGGCAAATATTATCGGTATGTCCAGTATGTTTCCCAGATCATCGTCAAGATCGTTCGCTATAGTTTTCTGAATATTTTGAGGCTTCGCTTTCTGAAGCCTCTGTAAGTTGGTGGCGTTCACTGTGATCTTCGGCATAGTTTTCACCGACTTGTGGGAAACCTTCAGCTTGTTGGATATCGGTAGTACGCCGCCGGAACTTTGATTATTCAACGGAACTATTACCGAGGGCGCGCTCCTGTTGTGAAGGGAATTCTCGACAATGACTATGTTACTGCACGACGTGTTATTATCCGTGTTACTGGGTGCGGTTTCTTGTCGTGGTACATAGGCCGACTTGGGTATATCCAATACTTGCGAGTCACAGCTCATTCCCATCTCCTCTGTCGCTACAAAATATACACGTATAATTTGTCTCAGATCTAGAGAAGAGGGTAATGCGATTATATAAATAACGTATTAACATGCACAACAATATTTTTTAAATATTTCCAACGTTGCACCGACATAATAATTTGTTGTATACACATTTTTGTGAGACGATTTTTGAGGAGAGAGATTTTAGCATTTACTTCCATAATATCAGATTGTAACTTTGGATGAGATACAATAATAAAACTAGTGGTTTTTTTTTTTTAATACTCTTAATATTAATATTAAGCTATAAATATTAAAGCTTTCTTAATATTAATATTGAGAAAGACAGAAATTATACAGAAATATACATAGAATCTGTCTTATTCTACCAAGAGACAAGAAGTATTACAGATGTAGCAAGTTATCTTGGTGCAAAAAAAAAAGATATCTACTATTACTCTGATAACTGCTTGCCCACCATATAACCCACCTAAGAAAGGTATTGGTTAAACGCCCCACAGCCGATAGTTCATGTTCGTATTATTCAGTATGATTAGTTATATATCTTACCCAGTAAATAGGATTAAGGTTGGGAATTAAACAAATTCGAATTACATGTATCGCAAAAAAATATTTATTGGATACAAAATAAAAGCCTGGCATCATATTTACAATAAATTTTGTGTGTGTGTGTGTGTGTGTAGATAGGTTTTAAAAATGCCTATGTGGCTTATATTCACGTATTTTTATATATACAATTTACGTAGGACACGAAGACAATACCACATGTTTAATGAAGTAATATATATAAATTCACTGTGTATATTCACATTACTAAAAAGTTAAGTTAGTAATTTTGTTGTATATGTTTTTAAACTATGTCAAGAGAGAGACATGAGCGATGTCATGCAATAAACTTTGTGATACTAATTATTATTCTCTTGGCTACAAAATATAAAAGAAAACCATACAGTATCTGTAATAACAGGGAAGAAATTTATGAGATAAAATAAATGCAGCAATTAAATTAAGCAGAGTATATGTGTATGTGTGTGTGTGTGTGTGCGTGTGGACGCGTATGCATGTGTTTTGGAAGAGGAAATATTTTGGTTATTCATAGTCAAGAAGTCACACAAAACAAAATGCGTGACTCTCGTATGTGAGTAGATACTTACAAAATCAATAATCCATATCATAAGAGTTGAAAAATTTTTATTACGCAATATCAAAGTCGTTTTTTTTTTTTTTTTAATATATCGTAATTAACACAGCTACGAAACACTTAACATTCTCCCATTTTTTAATAGGAAAATTTATAATTACAGAAATATCAATATAATTACACACGTGTTTTTGAGATATATGCAATTTTCTATATACATTTTACATACGAGCGTAAAAAAAAGTTTCCTATAAAAATTTACGAGTCTAAGATATGTATAGTAACCTTTTGCTACAAAAAAGATCAAAAAAAAGAAAAAAATTATGAAAAAAAAAAATAATAATAAACGTCTAACTGCGTGTACACGCAACAACTATATTCATTCTATGTACAACGATATAAGTACTAAAAATCTGCTTACCTATATTAAAAGTAGCTCAAATTGTGATTGAACTAACTATTGTAAATAAAATATATGTTCAAAATTCGTGTTTTTTAAGTTACCACAAAGAGATATCAAACACACATTGAACTCGATCTGATTCTATCGAATGCGTATAAATCACTTTGCTAGATATTAAAAAAAATTATTCTAAGTACATTTATCCTCTCGTAAACCCTCTCCCCCCTCCAAAAAAAAATAAAAATAAAAATACAGATATTGTAACATTCAAAAACTGCTCGATCGATCACATCATTTAGCTTCAACTACGTTTCGGATGAATTATTTACTAGTTGATTGGATAATGATCTACCTTTTGAGACTGTCGACGTGGATGGCGTTACGTTATTCGTCGGCGAGCTGGTGGTCGTTAACAAAATGCTGGAAGCCGACGACACACGAGCGGAGGAGGTGGTACTCGTTAACGGAGCAGGATTTTTTCCGCTTTGTAGAAGATTCGACAACGTGGCGCTTGTTGTTGCAACGGGTTTACCGCTTCCCGCTAAATTTGAAATGAGAAAAAAAAAAAAAGAACGTGTAAGTAATTCTAAGCCGAACATTATTTCACGATAGAATTCGAAACAACGGGAACTACAAGTGATAAACAACATCTCACCTCCAGAATTCGTATTGATTCTGATCTGACTACCCGCAGTGATAACGTTCACCAATTTCGTATCTGCGTTCTTGTCGGATGCGTTCACATGTCTGAAATTACTCGACACCACATTCGAGTAAGACTTGTTAGCAGGTATTAACGTTTTGATCTTCGTGCCCTGTAGCGGCACATTCGAAATGATCTTCGGCACTTTGGCGGATGTGGCCGACGATCTGGATACATTAGACGCTTTTGACATGGTGGTCGCAGATTGACTCGCCGTACTCGGTGCTAAACGTATCGGTCCTATAGGCGCTAAACTCGCTAATGAACCGATATTAAGCGTCAAACCGTTTTCTGCGGCAATATTTGTCTGCAACGATCAATCATTGCGAATAAATTATTACATATTGTAGTAACGATATGATATAATTAAAGTATAAAATATTTGGTCGCAGTTTTAAATTATAGTAGAGTAAATAGTAAGTTATATAATTTCTATTTTAATTGCACATAAGTCATCACATGTGTCGTCAAATATAAAATTTATATGCGGTACAATTTTACCTGCCCAGTTACTCTAGCGGTCTTTAAATGTTCAGGTAATTGATTTTTCTGATTGTTCGCGGGTCGTTTCCGTCTCACCGCGGAAGTATGATTTGCGTGTTGTACGCTCCCTTGAACCGGGGTAATTTGCGTGTTGACTTTGGGAGTCAAGCTCGTCGTCGCGTTCATTCCGACCGACAGCATGGCGGAGGATATCGGCGAGTTCGGTCGGGATTTCTTTACGATCGGCGAATTAGGCTCACTCTCCACGGAACTGCTCGTTGAATTTCTACGTCTGAGAGACTCCTTCTTGTTCTTGTTGTCACAGTTGGTCGATATCGTTGGTCGCAGTGGTAGCGGATTCGGTTGCAACAAGATGCTACCGATAAAGTCGCCAATCTCATCCAATATATATCGGTCTACCATGCTCTGCGTAATGCCCTCAAGCATCTTCTTAGACGTGGATATTCTGAGATAATCGTCAGCCGTGCCGACAATCACTAGACTCGTCTCGACCATCATCTTCTCTCGAAGATCTTCCAGATCGTCCGGTCTGACGAGGGTGGCGTTTTGACCGATAATGAACATCACAGGACAACGAAGGTCCATTAACATGTCGTCCGGTGTGCCTCGTTTTCCCTCAACCGTCGTGAAAGGAAATCCGATGCAGATTACGGCATTTACGTGTTCCATTTGTGCTATCTACATTGCGGAAGAGATTTGACAATATTAGGAAAAACAATGTGGCTATTGAAAAAAAAAACAAAAAAAACAAAAAGAGAATAAAATTGTCTTAGAATTACCTGACAAGCAAGAGCTGCACCAGTGTTAAAACCTACGAGTACGATCGGTCTGCCGGGATATTCGCTTCTGATGCTTTGTAACTTCGCCCTCGTGGCCTGAACCAATTGATCTATGCACACCATCATGGTCATTCTGTTGGCCGCCAATCCTATATGATTGTGATTGTGATTGTAATTATGAAAGGCGAACACCGTGCCCAGCATTCGCAGCTGCGCGATCCACTTCTGTTGACGCATCGAAATGGACGACGTTATACCGGTCGACGTTATACCGAAAGGTACTACTATTAAGATCGGATTTCCAGGTAATTCCTTCTGTAACCGTTTACATTAGTTCTCATTCACAGCACTACATAATAACACACAACGATGCAATGATCAAATTATTATATTTACGAGTTTAATTCCGTTCAAACTTGATGCAACTGGGTCCCACGATCGTTTCAAGTATGATCCGAGTGTTTCCCACGTTATCGAACCGGCTTTGGTTATAATGTTCGGTTGCACCGCGATCATCTTATCGATCAATTGAGGAATCTTTTGTCTCAAAGATTGCAGAATGTCGAGATAAATAATCAAGTATTCCTGTGAGAGATGTTCAAACAACAAATTATGCAGCCATTGAGCCAATCTCCAGTCCCATACAATTGACGCTAATGTTTCTCGAAATTGTCTTGCCGCAATATCTATAGACATTCTTCGAAAAATTGGCTCGGATGTGGTCTTCGTCTTGGATAGTCTCGCGAGCCTCTCCGTATTCAATATTCGAGTCACTTTGCTGAATATTCGATTCTGAACCGAAGACCACAAAGTTTTGTCTATTTTTTCCTCCCAATCTTCGTCTTCTTCTAGGCGTACGTTACTCACTAAACGTTGGAATTCGTCCATTGAATTCTGAGCTTTCGTTAAGTCAAATGGCAGTGTCAGTGGCTTATCGTCAATGTCCACCACATTGATTTCTTCGTCTTTTCTATGTTTACTGCTGAGACATATAACGTATATCAAAAAGAAACACACTTATTTTTATTACTTTTAAGTTAAATTAAATATCTTTAATAAACCTCACCTTATTGTAGTATTCTTTGAGAAAAACAACTTCTTTACAGGCTTTGCGTAATTGTTCTCTGGTTTCCAGTTCCAGGGTTTGGCGTAGCAATGATCTTTGACTATTATATCAACATCCATCTCATAATTTCCAGCAAGTTGACGCAGATATGTGGTCAATTTATTCGAATTGTCATCCAATGCTTCAGTTGGACTCGGCAGTCCAGAACTGCTTGCAGAAGTAGATTGTGCCATAGTTGTGAATGTATTTAGCATTGTGCAATTCAATCTTCGGGATTCTCACTTTATCAATTAGGACAAATTCAAGTTTAGTTTTTTCCCTGGAACAAACATGACGCAAATACATCATCGGCATTTACAAACAACATCATTCTGCACATTATCGTTTCATTCGCACACACACACATAAAATTATATAATTTAAAACAGTTAATCAAGGAAATCTCTCCTGAAAAGTTCTGAAAAAAAAAAAAAAAAAAAAACTAACCTTTACACGTGTCTCCTCTGTTATACAAACATACATACGTTCGTTGTAGACAACAGAAGTTTGCTTTTGCGATAACGTTTGTTGCATTTCTCAACGTTGCAATTATTTATTATCTTCTCGAAAAGATATTCTACATACGCAAAGTTACGCAAACGTTCAGTGTTTCTCAGCCCGTGCACGTTTGTCACGCGTGAATACATGGCAGAAGGTGTCACAAGAGGAAACGCGATATATACCCTCCGTACATTACATTCTCACGCAATAGATAGAACAATAATACGCACTCGCACGTTGATGAGTTATTTACGTTCGGTTGCTTATTGACATTGACGCACACACACTACACACACACACACACACACACATCACATATACTTACTGTTTTGCATAAACTTATTTTTGTTTCAATGGATTGCATCCGAGAATGTTTAACGCGACGTTAACGCCACCAGGTATAACGCCGCAATTAGAGTTTAGCGTCTCACCGACGTGCGAACTTACTTTACCACGGAGGTAAAGCAGATTTTCACAAAAATTCAAATTTTGCGTTATGTTAATTGTGTAATATATTTTTTATTTACATATAATTTATTTTAATTCTCTCGATTAATTCAATTTAATTTTAATTTAATGTTTAATTTGTTTTCTTGCGACAAACAACAGCGCTCGCAATGTCCCTATCACAAGAGATTGGCAGACGTGGCTCGGTTGTCGGGACTGCGACTTACTCGTCGTTTAAAATCAAACGAACGCTTTCTGTTACGTTATGAACACGTTTGTAAGGGAGAGAGATTTTAGTTGTATGTATTCTTAATAATTGTGTATGAACGCGCGATTAAAAAAAATGAAACTTTGGGAAAAAAGTATCGTTGAATGGGTGAGTAATTGTTTTACGTGTGTGTACGTTGTAAAATTGTCTTCTCTGAAAAATCCACGAGTATACCAACGACAACACTTTGTGTTGTGCATCGTCGTATATAATCACCCCGGTTCTGTTAATTTGTCGAAAAGAATGGAAAAAATTTATGTACGAGGTAAAATGATTTTTCAACAAGAAATAAACTATATGATCGTTTTGTAGATTAACTGTTTGAAAGTGCTGGAACAACCGGTAACAAGTACAACTGAGCTCCAGAATGAAATATTTTACGTCAGGTTTTTGGATTTGATGTAAGTGCACGTGCTTGTAGTAAATACGTACACAGAGAGAAATTATATCTCTTGAAAAACTATAATTTTATACATGGTATAATTTTATAACGGTCCTGTTTTATTTGTATATTCTGTGTTTTTATCTTGTGTTATTAGAAAATGGGAAAAACACAATGAAGAAGCGGACAATGATCAAAAGAATATCATTATAGCATTTTTAGAAGGTGAAAAATTTTATATTATTTTTATGTTTCTTTTGTATTGTCTTTATCTTGTCTTTTTTAATGATTTTTATAATTTACTGATTTGCAGATCAATATCCCAGTTTCAAAGTTAATAAGAATGACAGCACGGAACACATATATGTCGCGTCTGTGTTACTTATGCATTTGTGTCGAAAACAAACTGCGATACATCATTCCCTGCAGTATAACATGTGTGACAAGCTGGTGGACGAGACGCAACTCAGAGTTAAAGCTTTTCTTGAAAATGTACTGCCTCTCGGAAAGGACGTCACTAAAGAAACCATGAGAGAAGTTATCATCGAGGTGGAAAATCTGTCGCTGAGTGTACGTAAGAAATCTCCTCTTGAGAATTTTTCTCTGCCCCCCCGTTCTACCGGGCCGAGTAAAAAACTTCTGACCGAACGACTTCGGGAACTCAGAGACGTGAAATGTAACCTGGCACTGGAACGATTTACCAACGCGGAGTTACAGAACGACATAATGAAACAGCAGGATAAAATAAAGAACTTGCAGAAGAAACTTGAGGAAAAGACGGAGCAATTGAAAATCTTGCGAGAGGAATGGATGAGACCGAACACTCCTCAGCTTTCGGGCGCGAAGAAAGATACGTTAGAGAACAATCTGCAGTATTACAGTAAATATATTGAGGATCTGGAAGGTCAGTTGAGCAAACAACAGAATGAAATTGATAAGTTGGAAACCGAGAAAGATACTTTGATAAAACAGCTGTCTTCCGCGCAAAAGACGTCCGTACATTACAAGGAGAGTTTTGCCAACTGCGAAAGATCCTTGGAATCTTTGTCGGACAAAATTGAATTCAAGGACAGGGAATTGGTTGCGCTTAGATTTCACAATGAAGAATTACGCGCTCATATAAAAGAACTGACCAAAAATCCAGTTGAGCAAAGTTTCGAAGGTGACGACGTATCACTTTCCACCACAATGTCTATGAACACCAGCGAGGCTCTCAGCACCGTTATCGAAATTCAACTTCAAGAAGCCAAAGAAGAGTCCGCCGTGTTACACGCTCAAGTTGATTCGTTGAAGGAAAAATTGAATTTACTCACAAAAGATCACAGAACCGCTTTGGAATTGAATAGAGATTTGCAGAACAAACTGAAAACGTTCACTCAAGTGCAGACGGAATTGGACGCCGCGCGAAAAGAATTGAAGACGTCGAGTGCAGATATCGCCAAGTTACGGGAGGAAAAAGAGTCTCTTGTTGCGGAGACGGAAAATTTGAAAAGTTCACTTTTGCACAAGGAAGAGAAATTGTCAGATGCGGAACAGTCGAATGTCGCATTGAAGTCGGAATTGGATATCCTGAAAGTGAACGTGAAGAATTTAAACGAATTGCTAGCGAATGAGAAAACGAATTCTGCAAATTTAAGCACCGCTCTAGACCAAACAAGGTCAGAGATAACGGGACATCTCGCACATATTTATCACCTTGGCATTGATAGAGATTTGTACAGATGTTCCATTGAAAATTGCAAACGTACTTTGAAAGATATTTTACATCACAACAATATCCCCGCGCAACATCAGATTGATAGCAACAATTTGGATAACTTGACGCCCAACGATCTTGCAACTTACGTCGAAAAAATGTTATATACTTACGATACGGTGTGCGGCTTGTTCAAACGCGACTTTGAAAAAATGAAGATTACGTTAGATAAAACAAATACAACTGTGAGCGAGCAACAGTCAGCTATTACGTCGTTGGAAAAACACAACCAGCAAAATCTCACAAAATTGTCCGCCCTGGAGGAGGACAAGAGGCAAATGGATTTACTGCTCTGCGAACAGAAGGAAATTATTCACAATTATTCTGAAGAAATTAAAGCTTTGGAACAGGTTCGAGACGAGAAATGTGTTCTGGAACAGGATGTGTGCAAATTGAAGAAGGATTTAATACGCGCGCAGGAATTGCTTAAATCTTTTAAGACGCGTATCGAAGATCTAAAGAAAGATTTCAAAACGATGAGGGAAAAAACTCATCGAAGCGTCATCGATTATCGCAACGCTAGCAAACTGACATTCGAAAACCTGCGGCAAAGTTATCGAACATTGTGTGAAAATTTCGACGAAGTACGACGGAAGAATGAAGATATGGAATATAATTTCAATCGCAACAAAGAAGAATTATTAAACGGTCAAGCATTAGTCGTTACGTTATACGAAACTTTGTTAGAAAATAACAAAGTGATAGGTACCTTCGAAGAAAAGGAGAGAGCTCTCAGTGACGAATTAAACGAAACCAAACAAGTCGTGGAAAACTTGAGGGAAACGAATGAAGCGTTAGCAATAACGAAAACTGAACTAGATGGTAATTTGGAGAATCTCAAATCGGAGAATCGCAACTTGTCACTCGAGTTGAAAATTGCCACCGACAGGATCAATTTGTTGCAAGAAGAAATTGATGATGTTGCGACACAGATGGAGTCGAAGAAGGAGAATATAAATGAGCTGTTTATGAATGTGTCATCTTTAATGGAAGAGAAACAACATCTGATGCGTTTGCACGAGGAACTGATTGACACGAAGAATAAAGAAATCAAGATGAAGGAAGATGCTTTATTGACGTTAGAGTCGAAAGTGGAAAAGTTGACGAACGAAGCGAGTGCCAGGGAGAACAAGATGAAGGAAGTAATCGTCAATCTTCAAGAAGTGAGATCCAGCCAAGATGCCGTTCTGGCTGCTCAAGAGGCGGCTCTTAAAGAAAAGTGTCTTCACATAGAAGAACTTCAGGAACAATTTGACAACTCGAAGAGACTGCTGAGCAAAGAGCTTGAAGATGCGAAATTATTGGCGAACGAGTACCAAGTCAAGTTGTCGCACTTGGAAAATCAGATTAATAATCAGAACAAAACTTTGATGGAGACGCAAGAAATGCTGAAGGATTTGAGCGCGCAACTCGAGACGAGCAACAAGCGCTGCGAGCTTATGGACGCGAGCCAAGAGGAAATTGCAAAATTGTGCGAGCAATTGGAGCATCCGATGAGAAATTTGAGTTCCACCGTTTTGAAAGCGTGTTCGGATTTCGATTTACTCTGTCAGGATTCGCAGGATGCGTCGCAGCACGCGCACGAAGACAATAACGCCGCAAACGTCTTGCGCGTCATTAAGATGACTCTTGACGAGGTGCACAAATCTCAGAAGGTCATCTTGGATTTGTCTCGCGTAAATGCCGAATTGAATGAAACCTTGGCGGAGCAAAACCTAATCATAGAAAACAGCGCGAAGGACAAGGAAGAAGTGTACAGTCTGAAAAATAAGATACAAGAGATGGAAGTGATCGCACGGAAACGGAATGAATATCTCAAGAATCTCATAAAAACCAAAGAGTCTTTGAGAGATTCTCTGCAGCGAGTGTTTGTCTCGCAGCACGATTTGGACGCCGCCTTAACGTCGTTGAATCAAAAATGGAACGAAGTACTGACCAGGTTCGAAAACGTTCACATCGAGAGTTCGGTTTGCGACGAGATCAAACAGTTGCACGCGAAGAAGACGAGTCTTGAGAACACATTGTTCAAATATCAAACGAATCATTCGGAGAACATGAAAGCGATGGTGCAAATCTTATGGGGAAAGTTCATGTGGACGGAGCAAACGTTGCTCGACACCTACTTGTGTACCGCACACGAAAGAGAGTGTCTGGACATATTAAACAGAGAAGAAGAAGATAATGAATTTTTTTCCCAAGAGAAAATGTCGATAGACGCGGAACTGGAGAAGTGCAGAATGCTGCAAACCGACGTAACAAGATCTGAAAAGGAAATGGAAACGTTTTCAACGTTGGCCACGGCTTACGAAAACGGACTCAAATCCGGCGAAATTAAGAATTACGCGGAGATAGAGAAGAAGCTGCAAAGTCAAATCAATCAATTGACGAAGGAGAGAAAAGATCTGAGGGATAAGATGGATACTGTGCGCGCGAGAAATGTAAAATTGGAAAAGAGCATCGACGATCTTAGAACCGAAATGAGAAAAGTGAAAACGACGGAAGTAGCTACGCCAACGGAATCTAATTTGTCGGAAATAAAATCTCTGAGAGACGAAATAGAACATCTGAAGGAACAGAATCGGCACTTGCGCGAAGAGAAGGTAGAATTGACGAAAACCTCGAAGCAAGACCTGGAAAATCAATTGAAAGACGTTTACGCGACTTACGAGCGGAAATTAGATGATATGAAGCAAAAAATGGTAAATAGAATATTTGTTGTTAATTTGTTGTTAAACGCGTTGTATATTTGTGACAACATGATATACTCTGATATTAATGTGTGTGAAACATCTTTACTTTTCCTATAGAAAGCAGTTTATAACGAACAAGTGATGAAGTTGAACAAAGAACAAGATAAGGCTATACAAGAGAGATTGCAGTCGCAGATGGAGATAATGTGTCAGAAACACAGGGAAGAGCTTGACAGGTACAAGCTACATATTAGCGAGCTGAACTCGCAACTTTGGAGCGTGGGAGAAAAACTTCTGATCGAGCAACAGAAGAACGACGTGCTGAAACGTTTGAAGGAACAAACCCAGTTCAGGGAGATCGAAGCTGATCAGCCGATAAGCACAATTTCGCGCAAGACTTGCAAGTACGTTCACATCTACGCATTGATAAGAGCAAATCGCGCAAAGAGGAAGACTGTAATCTTGTCGAGTAATTCGCCAATAATAATTAAAATGTTAAATTTGTCTATTCGCAGAGTGGAGAAACAAGAGATGTTATCTGAAAATGTGCAGCAAACGGGAAAAAAAATAACAACACTGACAACAACAGAAGAGACGTTCGAGAGGAGACACAGCATCAGAAATATACAAGCGATGGGCAATGCGTTTAAAACGGAGGATGAGGAAGAGGTCTTCGACAATGTTTATCTAGGTATAATTTTCACTTTACAAAAAATACGAAACTCTGTTAACAAAATTTGGAGATTTTTTTTTAATATTGTTTTTATTTTTAGCCGATATGAAAAGAGGCAATTTGCCTGTCGCAGACGTCGATCGTCGTTTGTCCGTGTTACAAATGAGAAACTCTCTCTGCAAACCTCATTTAAAATCGTCGTATCCGGCGGAAATGCAATTTCTCACCTCAACGTTGACCGAAGAAGAGATTAAGGTAAGTTCTTTCTCTGTTGCGTTTATATCTTGCATTTTTTTTTTCAGTTGTACATCGTTTCACGTTCCGCGACGTCATTGGTTTTTTGTTCTCTGGTACAGTCTTGTCAATTCGAATGTTAGTTTTTGTATTTCGTGTAGCTTCATATATGTGTTCCTATGTGTATATACAGACAGGTTCTCCGGAAGAGAACTTCAACGACAGCCTCAGCCAAAGTCTTCTTCCGGAACAAAAACCGAAGAAGAAAGATAGGACTCAGGTCAGTATCGAGTTTCCATCTCGTGTTCGGCGTAACGGTTCTTTATTTATATAAACCATTTGTGATTGTCTTGTGTGGTTCGTTGCAGACATCGTACAAAAGACCTGGTCCTCCAACACCGAGCAAGAACGGGGGAAGACTGTCTTTGCAGGTATATAGAATGAGATATATGTATCTTCTTTTTTATATGTGAGATCAATCGGATCAAAGACACTTGTACCTAGAGATATAACCGTTTTGTGCGTAATTTGCCTTCCGATGTGTCAAAGAATTAATTCCATATTTTTTGTCCACATATATAATTAAAACTGATAATTGTTTTGTAGTTGTTCCAAGCTTGTGGAATGGAATTGTGTCTAAATTTTTTTTGCGACATAGCATTGTGCAGTTGCTGAAATTGAAACAACTGAAAATTTTGTTGCAGGGTAATGAATTGAGAAGTCCGAGTTCGCGTATATTGAGAGAACGAAACGTGGACAGAAGAACGACGATGATGACGACGACGACGACACCTCATTCACTGAAGAACTTGTTCACGTTGAAACGGCAAGATGAAGTGAGTAGAAGGAAATGTAAATTGAATTTAGAAAATACATAGAGAGAAGGTGAGAAATATAGATAAAAATTTTTTATTTTAATTTAATATATTTAACGTATATATATATATATATATATTTTTGTAGAATTTATCTACCACGCCGAAAGGTCGCAGGCTCAGTAATCTTTTCCGTAAACCAAAAGGTGCAATCAGATCAGTGAATGAATAATAATACAGCATTTTGTACAAAACAAAAAACCGAAGAAAATCAATGTAAAAATATTATATAAACTATAAGATTTATAAATTTGTAATATCATAGAATATTTTTGTGCGTACAACGGTAAAAGCATGAAATCAACACATTTATTGACTAATAAATGCTAATTTCATTAATAACAAATGTGATATTACATATTACATTTTTTATTAATGTAATATATATGTTAAAAGATGTAATATTATATGTATATATATATTATATGTATTTATTATATATATTATATATATATATAATATTATATATTAATATATATATATATTTTTTTTTTCATGCTTTTACCGCAGTATGTACAAGTACAATTTATTGAAGATTTTTTTGCAATAATTTTATTGCCTGACAATTTCTATTTTTTTATCTTCGTATTGCAAGTGTACCAATTTCTCGCATCTATCTTGTAATAATTGTAAATTAATTAATTTAAGATATAGTGTGTGAAGGAGAGAATATTATACATATTTATACATGCATTGGAAAATAAGTTGATAAATAAATTAATTAAAATTAAATAAGTTGTGTGTTGTCGTTGAGTGCGAGTGATACGTAGATATAACGATAGATAACCAAGTGTCTTATAACCGTGTGTGATTGGTCAATTCCGAGATGCTTGTTAGATCAGCTCCGATCTAACGTAGTTCTCGACGCTTGCGCACATCCCGTCAGTCCGTCAAAATGTTACTTGAAAACTTGAAAATATTTACATACTTAGGTATGTAGTATTATTCTTTTTTATAATAAAAGTGCGGTGTTGTGCCATAACCTTATCATGCCTTGATACGTGAAAATATTGCGTCAAAACCTGAGATACGTAATCGAAGGCGCGTTAGAAGTCAATAGAACTCGTTCGAGATGTGGAATCGCTCGAAGGTGCTGTGCAACAGATACAGAATACAGAAGAACCTGTTTTCCAACAATCCTAAGGTATTAATATCGAAATCCGCAGCGTCCGAAGATTCCAATAATGTTCTTCCTAAAGAAGCACGTGTTGTTATATGCGGTGGAGGAGTCATGGGAGGTGCCGTGGCGTATCATTTGTCTCTAGTGGGACTGGGACCTCAGACTGTTCTTGTTGAAAGTAGCAGGTGAGTGCTTCTTCAAAATACGATTTTTTTTTTCAACAAAACAAATATTACTGAACTGAAAGAGTTTCATTTTTATGTAAACCGAGGCAGACTAGGAGGTGGAACGACGTGGCATACGTCCGGATTAGTGGGAGCCTTCAAGCCCAGTCTGGCACAAGTGAAACTTGCGCAGGACAGTATCGCTCTGTACAAGGAGTTGGAGAAGAAAGGCCTGTCCACGGGCTGGAAACAATGTGGCAGTCTTTCTTTAGCGAGAACAAGAGATCGTATGACCGCGTTCAGACGAATGAAAGCGCAATCTGTGTAAATTATTTAACGTTAAGTGTAAAATAACATCACAAGTAGATATATTTAACTTTGATCATATCTCAGGTCGCGTGATATCGAGTGTTATTTGGTCTCACCAGAGGAAGTTCAAGAGATATGTCCGCTGTTACATGTTGACGATCTGGTCGGAGGATTGTGGATACCGGGAGATGGTGTGGGTGATCCTTATCAGATTTGCATGACGTTGATTCGAGAGGCGGAGAAAAATGGTATTTAATCGAAGATCTCGATTCTCTCTTTTACGGCAATATTTATTACGTGCAATGAATTGCACGTTTAAATTAATTTTATATCTGATTCAGGTGTAACGGTTTTTGAAAACTGCGCTGTTACGAAAGTTATTACTCAAAACGGCAGAGTGAAAGCCGCGGAAACGACGTGCGGCACCATCGAGTGCCAACATTTTGTAAATTGCGCTGGGTTTTGGGCGCGAAATGTAGGTAAACTCAGCGAACCGTACGTAAAGGTCAGTTATCTGCAGTAACGCACGAAAGCGAGAGAGATTAAACTTTTTCACCGAACTAACTAATATGTTATTTCTCGTTTTTTTTCTTTTTTTCAGGTACCTCTTCATCCAGTGGAACATTATTACCTGCACACTCAACCTATTGCTAATTTAAATCCAATGACACCTGTTATACGTGATCTGGACGGATACGTTTATTTTCGCGAGAACGACGGACGATTGCTCGCCGGCGGTTTCGAGCCGGTCGCAAAACCAGCGTTTGAAGATGGCGTAATTCCCGGTTAGATGCAAATATCAATTTTATATATTTTTTTTTTACTTTTCTAGATTTGTATTTAATTTGCATGTTTTTTTTTGTAATTTGTATTAAAACGATTATTTGCGTAATTTTTAATATTATCTCGTTGACTTAACTGTATTTACTTTTTATTCGAATCGTAGCGAGTGCAAATTCTCAATATATCGTTACCGCGGAGTTCGGAAAGTTCTCACTGATATTTCATTGATCTCAGAAAGTACGGACAAGCGATTTTTGCCGGAAGATTGGGATCACTTTCACATATTGTTGGAGCAAATGTTGCACAGAATTCCGAGTCTGGGAAACGCGGTACTGGAGAGACTCTGCAACGGGCCCGAAGCTTTTTCTCCGGATTGCAGATGGATCGTGGGAGAAGCTCCGGAAATACGTAATTATTACATCGCGGCTGGAATGAAAACGGTTAGTATCCATTTACACTATCGGTTATATACTCGCGACGAATTTGGTCGTCTCCGCCGTTCTTCCGCAAGTGTTTCGCACGCAATTCTATAAATATTTATACGTAGTGATGGTTTTTTCGAAGGTCGGAATATCCGCTGCGGGCGGGGTCGGACGCGCGACCGCGGAACTGATCATTAACGACTCGACTTCGCTGGATATGTACGAATTGGACGTCTCGCGCTTTCTCGGTCTGCACAACAATCGCAAATTTTTACGCGATCGCGTGCGAGAGGTGCCGGGGATGCATTACGCTCTGCAGTATCCGCATCTCGAATTCAAAACCGGAAGGAATCTGAGAATGTCGCCGATTTATCCGAAGCTCAGAGAGGCGGGCGCCGTCTTTGGCCAGGTCATGGGCTATGAGAGACCGTCCTGGTTTCAACCGGACGATGATTGTGGTAAAACTCTTTCACGATTCTCCTATCATAGTAATTGTGCGAGATTTTATGCGCAACCTCAGTCTCTCTGTTTTATTTATTTGCACATGTGTATTTATTAAATTGTTTATTACAATTTTATTTAAAACAAAAATACAGATTTAGAATTTCCCGACGGTTTCCAAAGATATAAAATAGCTTACACGAACACCTTCGATAAACCTCCTTGGTTCGACGCAGTCGCGCAAGAATATGCCGCTTGTAGAGAGGCAATCGGTTTGAGTGACTATTCGTCTTTCACGAAGATCGACTTGTGGGTAAGCAGTTAAAAATACCCGTATGAGCGTGTATACATACGTGTATACGTTTAATACATACGTACATACATATCTTCGTTGATAAACTTGTGTGACAAGACCATTAAATATATTAATTTTTCTATAACATTCGAGTCAAACGACACAGAAGTCGTAGATTTACTGCAGTATTTATGCTCAAACGACGTAGATGTACCTGTGGGAAGTATTATCCACACCGGTATGCAGAATCATCGCGGCGGATACGAGAACGATTGTAGTTTAGCGCGAATCGCACCGAATCAGTAAGTGTTGCCTGACAATCAGATCAATTTTTCATTAGTATACAAATTTAGTCCGTTGAGTCAGTAGCATGAGCAGAACGTGTTGTTTAAAATCCTTTTCTCCCTCTTTATATACAGTTTGTTTTTATTCTCTGATGATGATGCGAATTCGATAATTTTGTAGTATAATTTTAAGAAATTTTTGTTTTCCCCAATAAGATTAGAGGTATTAAGATGTATCTCTCTTTGAAATGTGCAATTTCTCTGCAGTTACATGATGATTGCTCCGACTATTCAACAAACACGGTGTAAGAACTGGATTCACCGGCATTTGCCAGCGGACGGTTCCGTCGCTGTGTCCGATGTCACGTCGGCTTACACCGCGATTTGTATAATGGGACCAGCTACCAGACAACTGTTGACCGAATTGACAGATATAGATCTAAATCCAAAGAATTTCCCGTTCTTCACGTTCAAGGTGAATAAAACATAAAATTTGTGAGAATTCAACGCAACCTTCTTGTTTCTCATTTATTTTATTTTATTTTATTTTTTCAAACAGGAGTTGGACGTCGGACTCGCCAACGGCATTCGCACAATGAATTTGACACACACCGGAGAACTTGGATACGTCTTGTACATTCCAAACGAGGTACCATTCGGTTTGATTGACTTGCTATTGTTTGTTTTTTTTTTTTTTTAATGTTTGAAACAATCGTATTTTAAGTGTTTCTGCGTCGGAAGAGGTTTTTTTGACTTCAGTAAATTTCAGTTCGCGTTGCACGTGTACACGAGACTGATAGACGCCGGAGCTAAGTACGGGATGAAACACGCGGGTTATTACGCAACGAGAGCTTTGCGCGTTGAAAAGTTCTACGCATTTTGGGGACAAGATCTGGACACTTTTACCACCCCTTTGGAATGCGGAAGATCGTGGAGAGTGAAATTCGATGTAAATATTAACCGTATTTAGATAATTGGTGATTAAAAAAAAACTCACATTAAATGTTTAAATTTTTACTTTTTGCAGAAGGGAGTCGACTTTATTGGCAGAGACGCGCTTCTGAAGCAGCGCGAACAGGGCGTGAAACGCAAATACGTGCAGTTGCTGCTGAACGATCACGATCTCGAGTTCGACACTTGGTGCTGGGGCGGCGAGCCGATCTATCGAAACGGGAAGTATTGCGGAATGACAACGACAACCGGTTACGGATACACATTTAAGAAACAGGTACACGTGCGAATTTAGCTTCTTTCTTTCGTGCGCTCTTGTGTTCTCCAAAAAACAAAACCTACTACCGTCAAAATTTATGTGTGTAGGTGTGTCTTGGATTTGTGCAAAATCTCGACTCGAAAGGTCAGCCGCAAGAAGTGACGAACGAGTACGTGTTGTCGGGCCATTACGAAGTTGACGTCGCGGGCATCATGTATCCCGCGAAGTGTCACCTACACAGTCCGAACTTGCCGACCAAATTTCCCGACAAAGAAAGAGACGCTTACCACGCTACGCGCGATCAGCAAACTTTGTGAATTTCCCTTTCGTTCAATTTCAAATGTGTAAAAAAAAACAAAAAAAACGAAGTGTATATTACGTTACGTAGATATAGAATGAGAGTGATTCAATAAAACTTTTTAAATGTATTATTTATCTTTCGCACACACAAAATCACTACACAAGCCTTGGTAATAAATTCTTCAGCGCAAAAATGGGATATCGCACAAGATAAATTACATCGCGTATCTACGCGTTGTGCTTGTTCATGTCCATTTGGCTCTTAAAACAATTACGTGTATAGTGCGAGATTTTTTTTTTTTTTTTTTTTAAATAGTGGTTATTACGTCATGAGTTCTGAAATTTCCGTCATACACTCGGACAATAATGTCTCTGTTCTCGCGTATCATATATATGCGTAATCTTTTGTTGCGATATACATTTTAAAATAACATATATAAAATAATATACATGTTACGCACAAAAAAAACTGCGCGAGAAACGTCTCATCGGCCGCGGAGAGGGTGGACACTCGGCGACCAGTTCTGCCGGTGTTTGTCGACATCTTGTTAAAAATAACAATTTAAAATATCATTACTTGCACATCATTACTCGTAAGTCCATCACGATATATTTATTATGTATATACTAACAAGTTTTTGTTATGTGTACAATGTCTATAAATATAATATACAGTGTAATACATTTGTCCGAAAGACATGTCGGGATGTTTGACTTGTTTCTTTTTTCCTCTCTTCTCAAATTCACCACAAAAAATATATATATATATAATATGTATGTGTATACGTCCCTTTTCGTTTTATATTAAAATATTACCGTAATAAATTGTCTTACTTACACTATGTGGATTAACACACTTACGTAGAATCGTAGGACACACATCTACTTATCACGAAAGATCAAGTCCATTATTAGTACATGTGTATGTTAATTCCTACTACTTCGCAGACTTTTTACACGCGACGTCTATTCATTCATTAACTTTCTGTCTTTTTGTTTTTTTTTTTTTGTTTTTTTTTGTCTGTTTATTGTACACATAGCAATACGTTGAAAAACACTCTATCACTCTGGAATCTCCGTCTCCGTTGTAGGTACTTGTTTTTGCACCATACAAGATCGAGCAACAGATTCAAACAACCTGAAACAACAAATATATTGAATCTAATTAATAATTTATGCAATTGTTATTAATTTATTTTATTGGACAACAATCTTCTTGTACTTTTTTGTTTTGTTTCAAAAGGTACGGATGTGAATTGAAAAGCCATATTTGATTCTACTAACAAATATATTCTATACTTGTATATACAGTAAAAAAAAATTATAAAAAAATGTTAAAAAACGATTTTCATTCGTGTATTTTAGTTTTTCATATCCCCTGTTGCGTTAATATATACTCCTATCCATGGTTTGGCGTCAGCAATTGACGTGTAAATTAATCTGAAAACAAAAGCCATCAAGTGCTGACCGTCAATTTTTGCACAAAAAATTTGTAATTTTGATTAAAAAATAAAAAATAAAAAGTAATCGAAATAAAAACAAATTTATTTGATTTTTGAGAGAAGTAAAATAAAATAAACTGTAACAAACGTTGACAAATGCATGTATGTAGAGCCAGATCGTAGAGTATGCATGCAGAAATTCACAGAGCCGTTCTCAACCGTGTTTGAGAAACAACAAAAAAATGTTGTTTCGAAAGAAACAAAAAAGAAAAAACCACCGAAAAAAAAAAAAAAAAAAAATGCAATTAAAATCCAAAATCAAATCGTGCGTTGCCGCAGAAAGTTGCTAATAAACAATCGTCATTTCTTTTGAACACAGGATCTTTTGTGTACCACCGAAGCTATCGTAAGATAGGAGAAAGTTCCGATTTTCCCAGGATTCAACACCTTAAAAATTATTTGTAGCACTGAAGTGTTCTCAAAAAGAAGACACACGCAATATCAATAGATATCGAGAGAGATCATGCGTTTAAATTTTTTTGTGAATGTTAAAACTTACTTTTCGATTTCTGGTGCGCAATGTACGAATTCGTGTGACCAGAACTTGTACGTAGGATTCTTGATCAATTCGATAAAGGTGATGAGAAGACCCCACGGATGCGGTCTGTTAACGATCAACCTTTCGAGAAGGACTCTGGTGATCTGTTCTTGTATCGCCTCCGTGTTTGCCTCGGCGAACAGATAGAGAAGTGCGCAACTGAAATAATGCGTGTGACTGTTTGGGTATCGCAATTGATTCGCTATAGCATTAAGGAACAAGTATCGCCCCTCGGTGTCCAGATCGACGGCTAGATTCTGGAATATGTCCATGTGAGCGGAATGTGCTATAGTGGACATGTTGGGAGTAAGGCCTTTGTTGCGGATAAATCCTATAGCCTGTGTTCCGACATAAAGCACTAAAGCGTTCATCAGCTGAATGTTGTAACGCGCGCCAGCTTCCTGCGACACTTGCAAGTTGCTGCGCAATTCAGACAGAAAAGTGACGGGCGCACGGGCCTTCAAATAGGAATCGAGTTCTTTCTTGAAGGTCAATGGTTGTATTGTGGACGCGAAATTAGAAAGAACTCGCGGTGCGAGTGATATCTCCTGCAACAAGTCAACCTTGAGATTTGGCGTGAAAGGATCGGGTAGACGCATGTTTCTCGGAAACGCGCTGAGAATCAGATTTCTCATTTGTATACAATTGGGTGGTATCACGTCACAAAACCCGTAATGATAATCACAGAGAAATTCAGGGAAGTCGTGTAACAGTACCAACAACACTCGTAGCGTTCCTTTGTACAGACTTGTCACAGGTTTGGCGAGTTCCGCGTTACGTAGATAGGGCGCGAGATACTTGAACAGATCGATCAAGAGTTGCGCGTACATCCCCCAACACTTTTGCTGCGGCGTGATGGCCAACATACGTCCAATGAAGACACGGTGTGAGACCAGTTCTAGCCAGGCGTAACAGAAACCAGATGCCTTCGCTGGGCGCAGTATGTGCAGGGTGTGACAAAAGGCCGTCAACACTTGGAAGTTCACGGCTTCCAACACAGGTTCGGGTGCGCACAACTCCAAGAACAGCATAATGAAAATTCTGTGGTACGGTAATTGTTGGAAATCGGTGCCGCGTATTTCATGATCTTGCAGCAACACGCCGGCTACGATGCCGAGAACCTTGTTAAGTAGATTGATCTTGGTGTGCGTGTTGGTGGCGTCGCCCGAATGTTTCACCAAGAGCGAAACCAGACGAACAAACGCGTCCAAGGAGTGGAAACACTTCGCACGCAAAATAGTCGGAGCTGACGTGGTGTCCGAGAGCGCACGATAACAAAGATCCACGCACATTTGTGTACTCAACTTGAAGAATCTTGTGATGAGATCGTCTGTCTTTAAGATTCCGTGAATGTTCATTTGGTGCACAAACGCGCCGAATGCTTTAGTGGGATCACGAGCATGCTGCGGATTGTGATGCATCTGGACCCATTCGCGCAACAGATATTCCGTCTTTTCCATTAATCCAGGTGGATCGTCAAAATCGCGAGCCTAAAACGAGTAACAACGACACATTTTGCGACACATAGAGAAAGACATGTAGAGCTATTCCGCATTTTTTAAATAACAAACCTTATTAGCGTTACAAACATAATTAATTGGTTACGGAATACCTCGCCGTTGATAAATAACAATGTGTAATCTGAACAAATTTACTTACTCTCACCTGCAGGATCCCGGAGTGAATGTGCGCTGTCGGTCCCGCTGGAGCTCTGTCTACCAGTATGCCAGTGGTATCGTGGTTTGCGCGCAGCGAATCTACTAAATTTGTCAATCTGAAGAGTAGAATTCTGAAATATAATACAAAACATTTCGTGGTTTTTTTCTCAATGTAACCATATCGAACTTCCAGAAATCAGAAATTTACCGGTCGAAATTATTTGCATATGATATATATGTATTTTTATATGAAACGATAACATTTACAAAAAAAAAAAAAAAAAAAAAAAAAAAAAAAAAAAAAAAAAAAAAAAAAAAAAAAAAAAAAAAAAACCTAAGTTTGCAAATAATATATTTGTGGATG